GCAGTTTTTTATGATCTTCACGGATGGCACCTTTCTTCTGCAGATACTTAGCCTTCAGGACCCCCAGGCCAAGGCGAACCGATGAGCCAGTCGAAGGCATTGCGAGCAAGGAAATTTCGGATGGCAGGCAAGAGCTCAGGTTCTCGAGCCGACCCAAATTGCGTTGTTCCGTCGCTCCGCTACCAATGACATCGAGCACGAATGCAGCAGCACGACTAACAACTCATGCATGCAAGCGTCCTCGCCTTCGCGATTGCGACGAAAACGATCGCAGAGTCGGCGGCGTATCCTGACGGCAGTGCCGGACATGTGTTTCGAAGCGCTTGTTCGGAGAATCTTTGGTTCATAACTCAGTGTGCAGCATCGCATGAGTGTTGTAGCATGTTGCATATAACAAGTCGCGACAAGGCTGTTACAGATAACAAAGCCCCCGTCAGTGCTATACAATATCATGCTGAAGGGTGAGATGCAGATGATGAAGATGATGAAGATGATGAAGATGATGAAGATGAAAAAGATGATGAAGATGAAAAAGATGATGAAGATGAAAAAGATGATGAAGATGAAGAAGATGATGAAGATGAAGAAGATGATGAAGATGAAGAAGATGATGAAGATGATGAAGATGAAGAAGATGATGGAGATGAAGAAGATGATGAAGATGAAGAAGATGAAGAAGATGATGAAGATGATGAAGATGATGAAGATGATGATGATTAAAATAATTTAGATCCTGAAGGGGAGGGGTCCCCGGGGGTCCAGGGCCCCGGGAATTAAATAATTTAAATAATTTAAATCCGGAGCCCTTCCCCAGGATTTAAATTATTTAAATTATTTAAATCCTGGGGCCCGGGGCCCCCGGGAACCCCCCCGGCCAGGATTTAAATTATTTAAATTATTTAAATTATTTAAATTATTTAAATGGGGCCGGGAATTAAATAATTTAAAATAATTTAAATAATTTAAATCCTGAAGGGGAGGGGTCCCCGGGGGTCCAGGGCCCCGGGAATTAAATAATTTAAATAATTTAAATCCGGAGCCCTTCCCCAGGATTTAAATTATTTAAATTATTTAAATCCTGGGGCCCGGGGCCCCCGGGAACCCCCCCGGCCAGGATTTAAATTATTTAAATTATTTAAATTATTTAAATGGGGCCGGGAATTAAATAATTTAAATAATTTAAATAATTTAAATAATTTAAATCCTGAAGGGGAGGGGTCCCCGGGGGTCCAGGGCCCCGGGAATTAAATAATTTAAATAATTTAAATCCGGAGCCCTTCCCCAGGATTTAAATTATTTAAATTATTTAAATCCTGGGGCCCGGGGCCCCCGGGAACCCCCCCGGCCAGGATTTAAATTATTTAAATTATTTAAATTATTTAAATTATTTAAATTATTTAAATGGGGCCGGGAATTAAATAATTTAATAATTTAAATAATTTAAATAATTTAAATCCTGAAGGGGAGGGGTCCCCGGGGGTCCAGGGCCCCGGGAATTAAATAATTTAAATAATTTAAATCCGGAGCCCTTCCCCAGGATTTAAATTATTTAAATTATTTAAATCCTGGGGCCCGGGGCCCCCGGGAACCCCCCCGGCCAGGATTTAAATTATTTAAATTATTTAAATTATTTAAATTATTTAAATGGGGCCGGGAATTAAATAATTTAAATAATTTAAATAATTTAAATAATTTAAATAATTTAAATCCTGAAGGGGAGGGGTCCCCGGGGGTCCAGGGCCCCGGGAATTAAATAATTTAAATAATTTAAATCCGGAGCCCTTCCCCAGGATTTAAATTATTTAAATTATTTAAATCCTGGGGCCCGGGGCCCCCGGGAACCCCCCCGGCCAGGATTTAAATTATTTAAATTATTTAAATTTAAATTATTTAAATTATTTAAATGGGGCCGGGAATTAAATAATTTAAATAATTTAAATAATTTAAATAATTTAAATAATTTAAATCCTGAAGGGGAGGGGTCCCCGGGGGTCCAGGGCCCCGGGAATTAAATAATTTAAATAATTTAAATCCGGAGCCCTTCCGGAGCCCTTCCCCAGGATTTAAATTATTTAAATTATTTAAATCCTGGGGCCCGGGGCCCCCGGGAACCCCCCCGGCCAGGATTTAAATTATTTAAATTATTTAAATTATTTAAATTATTTAAATTATTTAAATGGGGCCGGGAATTAAATAATTTAAATAATTTAAATAATTTAAATAATTTAAATCCTGAAGGGGAGGGGTCCCCGGGGGTCCAGGGCCCCGGGAATTAAATAATTTAAATAATTTAAATCCGGAGCCCTTCCCCAGGATTTAAATTATTTAAATTATTTAAATCCTGGGGCCCGGGGCCCCCGGGAACCCCCCCGGCCAGGATTTAATTATTTAAATTATTTAATTCCCGGCCCTGTCCCCGCCCGGGACCCCCAACCGGGTTTATTTGGAAGCTGGCTCTTGTTTATATATAAGGGATTTAGGTCACTGTTTCCCTATCTAGAGTGCAAGCACCAGCTTCCAAATAAACCCGGTTTAAGCCGCACACCCCCCCCCCCCCCTCCCCCATCCCTATCAGACCAGACCATACCATTGGTGGGGGGGGGGGCTGGGAACGCCAGACGCCTGACCATATATTGAATCGGACTCGCCAAAAGAAAAGGTGATGAACCGGAATCGCCATCGCAAGCCCACACGAGCTTTCTGCGAAGCGGCACCAAATGAGGGGGTGTTTCAGACATATGATGACCCGGATTCGGAATCGCCAAATGAGGGTGCGTGCGTAAGATATATGATGAACATGAACAGCTGGAGACATATTCGCGTGTGAATGTTAAGTGACAACATTTTCGCATCGGTTCGAGCTTCCGAAGAATCGCAAAAATGAAATCAGCAGCCTCGGCCCTAAGCAGCTTATGAAAAAGGCTCGGGCAGCGAGCATCGTGAGTAAAGTTTAGGATACCGGTTCACAATGTGCCGTAAATAACAGGAAGCGGGGAGTTCGGCAAAGTGTGAAGAAAAGTGTGACTAACATGAGTTTAACGGCGAATGGCCATAGTTGCAGATGTTCCGGGACAGGAAAAACAAATAAATAATGTGAATCTGTGAGATCCGACGAAAATCGGTGATATGTTTATTTGAGTTTGTTTGATCTTAAGGCGTGCCGGACAAGGCGCTCGTCTCTTCGCAAAGTTGGTTGAGACTGCTTTGATCCCGGTCGTCCTTCGGTCCAACGGTCGCTGTCGCTGGATCCCGTGGTCCTCTTGCCGCGACTCGTCCCTTTCGCTGCTCCTGAAATCAAGGCCAGTTGTCCGTATCTGGTGGTAGGTTGCACTAAGGGAGGGCGTCTTGTCCTCTTGCAAACATGCGCAGCTGCAGTTAGCCTGCAATGAACGTAGAAGCGCAGCACGCCGCATTGGTGAGAGGGCGAAGCAAGCCGAAAGGCCCGCTAACCCTAAATCGTTTTTGAGTTTGCCTATTGGCCCATGTCACCATGACAAGCTGCCTCAACAGTTCCAGCATGTTCCAGCAACATCAACTGCAAGCACATTGGCGCTGATTTTCTGACGGAAATGAAGGACGCCACGGCCGCTTAGATTTTCGGGTCCGTAGATTGCAGTTGGCTTCGAATCCCCGGAAGGAGTAGAAGTCATTGAAATCCGTAAGTTTTGGTTTTCGAAAATGTGATGCACCTGGCGCTGTGGTAGTTCCCAGCTTGCGTTGCAATCATTCCCAGTAATTAGAGTTCTGCGAAGCTCAAGGTAGCAGCATCTGTTCCGGAGCCTGTCCAAGCCAGCAGCCAGAATGGATTCGTCGGGCGGCAGTTAGTTGCAAGTTCCATGTTTCCCATGCAGTGACCAACAAGGGTGCCCACACACCAGAGGCTTCACTCTTTGCCGAATGCCAAGGAAGCTGCATCTCCTGCAGTTTCGCGGAAAACACTGCGCGATCACAGGACTCACAGGCGGAGCTGTCTCGAAAGATGAGATGTCGACGCAAGCTAATGCAGCTAGTGCTTAGTGCGCAGAATTCGTTGATGTTAGCAGACGGGCTGCAGCTGCAGGCATCACGAGTTTCGTGGGGCGGTGGAAGTGATGCCGAAGAGCTTGCGCAGTCTGCGCAATGCCGAGGGCGATGTACAGAGGCTCTGATTTGTGCCGCCAACACGGCTCCTCCTTGCGCTCATGTGTGAGCATTGTGGGCTGCATGATGCTTCAAGCACCCCTCGAGCATCTCCAGGCCCCATCGGATCCGCAGGCGAAGTGAGAGAAGTGAGCCAGCAGTCTCGTATGACTCTCGTATGAGAAGCTGTCACCTGAGAGCAAGGAAGAAGGAGGGTGCATGCTGCCTGGAGTGAGCAGTGAAGAGAACTCAACGCGAAGATGGCCGCAGCTGCAAAATGCTGGCGCCTGCATTGCGTATGCTCTTGCATGAGGCCTGCTCAAGTCTACGGCTTCGTCTGCAGCTCCGTCGTCCGCAACTGTGCTGAGGCCGTGGTGAGTTGTTCTACGCACCGACATACTGTGACATGCTGCTTTCCATATTATTGCTTTGGAGTTCCCAACCTGTTTCTGATCGAGCATGTCACCCTGACAGGCGTCTCAGTGGGAAGCAGCAGTGCGAACCTGACGAACTGCGCATCTGTGGCATAGCTTTTGTGTGAGATTAGGCGTCAAGCGCTATGCCGTGCACTCGACTGCATCAAGGTGTCATTGCTATTGTCCTCCACAGGTGGCAACGGTTGTGCCTGCTCGCAATCTTGTGAGGTTACGAATTCGAAGCACTGAAGCAGCTTCATGCTCTCTTGTTGGGCTCGGCCGCTCGTAGCGGTGCTGCGTGCAACACGCTCGTCGCTTTGAGCTACTGGCATCATGGAACATCGGGTAAACTTCATGCCCCACCTAAGTCTCCAACGCAGCATCTAGTTGCTTGCAGCTTGGGCGAACAGTGGCACAGGACAGGATGGACGGGGAAAGAGTTGGCACTTGCGATTTGCTTTTGCAATGGCGAGGCTGGTTCCTTTGACTGATGCAGAGGGCCCGGGGTTTGAAATCAGTGGCGGGCTGTTCATAGGCCGGAAGGAGACGTGCCAGATCCGAATCAGCGGGCCAACAGTAAGCGCTATTCAGTGTGAAGTGCAATGGAATGCCCAACACGGAGTTTTCCAGGTTATTGACAGAAGTTCCAATGGTACATTTGTTAATGGCAGACTCATGGAGAAAGATCAGGTAGTGCAGCTGCACGACGGTGACGTCGTCCAGTTGACGAAGCGATGGCCGCATAGCCCTGCTTTGCAGTATAGGTTTGTCGCTCCTGCCGGGCAGGTTCGAAGAGAAGGTACAACCCATACAGGTGTGAGCACGAGCTGTCCAGAAGAGACCAAAGTCCTGAAGTCAGTCGAAGCTCACGTGCGAGATGTTCCAGGATCCGAGGTGGAGCTCCCTGACGTCGCAAAGCTTCAGTGTACGTTAAAGGAGGAAGAAGATCGAGCAGCCTGTTTGACTGAAGAGCTGGAGAGGCTACGGGGTCCGGCTGTGGAACGACTGGAGGAAGCCAGCTACCAAGCCCAGGAGGCAGAAGATGAAAGGCACAGGCTGGAGAGGGATTTGAAAGAAGCCAAGGAGGGCGTCTTTGCCAACCTGGCGATGGTCAAGGAGTGCGAGGAGCAAGGAGCGAAACTGCAGCACTTGCAGCGCAACTTGCAATCGCTGCTCAGTGCTCGCCAAAGCATCCGTCAAGACACCTCCAGATTCCGTGAGAATGCCGAGGCGGCATGGGCTGTTCAGTCCCGCTTGCAGCAGCTTGTGGCCGAGCAAATGGCCTCCACGGAAAAGTTGCAATTGCAACTCAGTAGTTCCGTGTTTGAGATTGGCACCCACTCCACGGATCTCTCGAGTTCCATCAGCGAAGGCCAGGAGCGTGAGTTGGTGGCATGTCAGAGCGGCTGCAAACATGTGCGCCACGTGACAAAGAGCCATGAACCCGCATCTGCCAAGAAACGGAGACGAAAACTGGAGGCCGGAGACATTCCGACAATGGAAATCTTGTGAGGTCTTTCAGCCTTTATGCCCGCAAACAGCGGTGGGAGCCCTTCTGAGCAGGGTAAGTGCAAGCTTGTATAGAAATTAGCACGACTAATTCGAAGGCCTCAAGCTGTGAGGCTTAAGGGGTCGTTTCGGGCATGCAGGAGACATTCGTCTCTTGGACGGATGTGGTGGGGCTCGACTGAAAGGATTGCCATTGTGCAATACAACGTGAACTCGTGTGCACAGATCCGGACTGATCGCTCGAAGGCGTTGCAGATGTTTCAGCGCACTGTCCGAGCCCGACTTGCTTACTTGGCAAGTATCTGAACCCTCGGACGTGAGAAGCACCAATGTGTGAAACTGATAGAACATCCAAATGATGTCGTTCGAGGTGCTGGGCTGATTGCTTGTGGCATGCTGAGCGAAGGGAATTTCAGCAACTCGCGAGCTGACTGCTGACAACGTCTGTGGAATGCTGTAACCTTTCTTGGAAAGGTGCTAGCTTGCAAGCGCCTGCCGCAAGCTATGCAGTCCCTTGATTGCTCAGGCCGTGTTCGTGGACATTGGGAGGAAGCGGAAGCACTTCTTGAGGCATAAGGGCCCGTGAGCGGTGTCAGATTCAGGATGTTTAGGGGCATACTGTGCTGGCGACGAAGCTGCCTTCGAAGTTGAATATTTGTGGGTGAGTGATGGTGAGTGTAAACCTGCCACCTGCCAACCTTTTGAGTCTGGCCCGGCTACGGCTGGAAGTTTGTGCTCGTTTTCTGCGGAACGTGGCCCACAGTCTTCTGCCCTGCTTCTGGTGCAGTCACCATGTCAAAGTGGCAGAACTTTACACATAGGTTAGATGACTAGCCGCTGGGAGATACACAGATCGTGCTACGGCGACGGGGACGAGCTCCTCCCATTCAATGACTCGTTGGCTTTGGAGTCGCCCCCAAACTCTCGTTTATAGCATCAGAAGGCAGTCCGAACCACTAAGAGACTCAGAGCTTCCGCTGCTTGGCAGGCCATGCAGGTGGCACCCCAGGCCGAGCCTCAGACTATCAGGCAGAACGGAAAGCAACGCCCGGCTTCAAGTTGTGAGAGGAATCGAGAGGTCGGAGGTGCAGCAATGAAGTGTTTGGACCGAGGGAAAGAGAGGCAGCGTGGTTGAGGATATTTACGGAGCTGATGGCCTCGTGGTGGATTCCTGCTGATAGCCTTGGGGTCTGTGAAGCTTTCTGCCGACAGAACGAAGACAGGGTCCAAATTGAATACCCGCTTCGAGCAGAAACCACAGCGCACAGAGGCCTGCTCGGAAATCTTACATTCGCAGTCTCTGGTGAAGAGCAGCACAGAACCCACAACCAGTGCAATGGAATGCTAGTCACCGACTGCGATGCATAATTCACTTTTCGCTGAAGCCGAGGTGCATGGTCGTCGCTCGAGGCTTGCTTGTTTGATACCATGATGATAGTTCGGCAGCTTGCCCATATACTCACCTTCAGAAGCTGTGCATGACCTTCGTCAGTATGTTAATTTTCCTTTTGCGCATGGTCTAGTCACAGTCCAGCTGACGGCAATGAAAGCTCAGTCCTTTTTGCAGGCCCTTCCCATCTCGTCGAAACTTGCCTCGCGATCGCATGGCCGCTTCGACGGGACTGGCACGAGATGCGATCGCCAGAAAAAGGGTTTGATGGGATCGTGCGTGCTCAGATGTTGCAGTTAGCTGTCATGTGCGGCGCTGGAATCTTCGACTCGTCCAGTAGCACAGCAGATAAACTCAGAGACAGATTTTTACTCAAGGTCTCCTCTCAATGGCTCATGGGAACGTGTTGCAAATTTCAGCAAAACAGCACTGACACCCGAAGGGTTACCGCACCTCGGATTGAACTTTTCTCTTTGTAGAACCCTGGTGTGAATTCGACGTTGACACCTGAAGTTTATCTTCAGCCAGAGAAAGGTGCTGAATCACACTGGTCTTGCACTCCGGGCCAGATGCAGGGCCAGGGCGTGGGCTTCGAATTCCAATGCCACTTTCCGAGGATGCTGAGGTAGAGCTCGAGGCACGCAAGCCTTGCAGATGGCTGCGTTGATGTGCTTGGCCATGCTCTCCAAAACATACGCCTTTTTATGAGAGGCGCTCGATGGAATTTTCCCAGAGGCCGTGGAGCGCCTGGCTCCACAGCGCTTGCGTCTTCGTTTATCTCCCGAACCGGACAACGAAGGTGCCATTAACACATTGACATGCAAGCCGTTGCATATGCCCATGTGATCCCAAGTGCCTGATCGGCAGCCGTTGCTTTAGATTACCGTGTGAGACCTGACATGCATTCAACACAGTTTCGATTTCGAATTAGCATACCCTTGATGGTACATTCCGAAGGATGCTGCTCTGAGCAGATCGTATCTCCATGCTTCAGTAGTAGATCCTCGCAATGCGTCTGGGAGCTTTGCGACTGCGGCCTGCAATGGTCCAGGAGGCCCTGATGAAGCTATTTCTTTCATTTGTATTCTTGGCGTTGGAAGTCCTCCAGGTGGATGCTCAGGCAACCTATCCTTCCGAATTTCGAATGGATTGGTGTGTTGGTGACAGTTGCTTTGACCAGTCGATCAGCTGTGCACACTTCCAACTGCGGCTGCACAGCTATTATTCTGAAGGGTCTCGCCCACCTCTGAGGGAGGCATTTTTTTTGGTGACACTGCCTCCTGTGTACCAGCGGGAGTTGTTGCTTGGATGCCCTGGCATGATGGTTCTGGCTCACCTCCTCCTCGCCGAGGTCCGTTTGTACACGCACGATCCGAGCGAGGCAGCTACGCTGAATGCGAGGGCACAGGCCATGATGGAGCTTCCGGAAATTACAGCAGTGCACTTGGAGAACATAAAGTATGCCTGGCCGCTGCAGCAGGCTATGCAGCGGATAGCGAACACGTCGTTGATGCTAGACGGCCGAAGGCCAATGACTGTCGACATCGTGCTGCCGCGATGTGGGGAGGACTTGGCTTGGCTGGCTAATGGCTCCCTCCTGCAACTGTTGCCTGCAAGGACACGGGTCTTTGTGTACGAAAAGTGTGGAGGCGATGCTAGCTTGGTGGAGTATTTGTCGATGCGGCTCGAGTCGCACATTCAGCTGATCCACACACAGCTTGATGATGCTGTGGACCCAGCCACCGGCCTGGCAGCACGCAGAGACGAGTGCACAGCATACTTGAGCCACGTCGTCCGTGAGTACGATAATCTAGGAGATATGACCCTTTTCTTGCATGGTGATCCGTCAGACCACACCCCTTTTGGTCTTTTGAACATATTACTTCGTGGCATTTCTCTGGGCACTTTTGCTGGCCTCGACTTTGTTCACCTGGGCTCGCCTCGCCTGGTTGCTACATACAATCCGTGCCAAAACGATATCTATGAGCGTGCCTTCAATCGCCCGCTTCGAGGCAGACTTTTTACCTACTGCTGTTCACAATTTGCTGTTTCGAAGAGTCGGATCCAGCAACGGCCGCTTGAGGAATATGCCAACATGCTGCAACTCGTAGATGGCTCTGTGGCAGATGTGTGCGAACGAATAGGTCCGTCTTACGAGAAGTATGCTGGTCAGCGCTTATCTCACTGTTTCTTCCTGGAGTTCATGTGGCATGTTGTTTTCGGCGAGCCCGACGAGTTGCCGCTCCGCGCAGATGAGCCGAATCTTCCGCTTCCACTACGTTTGAAGGACAGCGATGAAAACTTGCCCAGCTTGTGGAAAAGCTACATGTCGCCGGTCATTGGCGGCTATGCCACCTTCCAACGGCAAAACTTTGAAAGCTGGCTTCACCAAGTTCGGACACACACCGACTTGGGCCGAGCTGTGCAGAAGAACTTCGGAGATGGATTGAGTTTCTGAGGTTGGCAGAAAGGAACTGCCACTCCAGAGTCTTGCTACATGTTGCCACATGTGTGACCAGCGACTTGAACGGACATCCATGGACTAAACCCACATGTGAGATCTGTGAATGCCAGGTTGTCGGTTTGCGGAGGCTGTTCTAGAGTTTGAGCTCCCCGACGAGTACCCTGCTACGGCTCAACCTATGGTCACCGCGACGTTGCCCGGAGGACCCATTGCCGAACTGGCAAGGTAGTTAATCTCGATGTAGGCGTGGTGTCGCCACATTCCTCAACCTTGCACTTTGGATTCTGCTAGGAGCCGTTGTTGGTGGAAGCGAGGAGGACTTACTGTCAGTTGTGGAGGCTGCTCTGGCAGACACTGTCGGCAACGTTGCTCTGTTCACTGTGGCGGAGGCAGCAGCACTCAGTTTGATGTCGCTTATGAGCTCATGACAGTGCATCTTGAGCATCGCCACCAGGAAGCAGCTGCACTAGCGACACAATCAGTAGTGTGTTGTGCGCTTTTGTGTCCAGTGACGATTCTTGTTCTACGAAGGCGGTGCGTGATTGGCTGCGTGAGCATTGTCGCCTCCCGCCCGAAGCGATAGAGCCAGAAGCCGCGAAGCAGCAGGTTCGCACAAGTCCTTCTGACTACAGGGTTCAGGTTCAGGTCAGGAGGCAAAAAATGGCTACTGTGCAGACAGAACCATGCCAGTCATGTGCTGCGATGCGTTGCAGCTGTATGAATATCGTTGAATATCCACCGATCTGAGAACTGTTTTTCTCAATCAAGAGGACTGCGAGGAGATGGACGACTTAGATGTGGACTCCTCCGACCTGGACGGAGAGCTCATCGAAGCCTTGCAAGAAGTCTTGGCAGGCTAAAGTCCACTCTTGACTATGTGCGGCTTTGTCAGGATGCACGTGCCCTGAATCAGTCTTGTGAAAGGTGACAAAGACCGGCTCCGGGAGCTACGCCGCATCAAGAGTTTGGACACGGCAGAGCAGCGCCAAGCTCTTCGACAAGTGCTCAAGACGTTGAGTGCGGAGGTAGCGGCCATGCAGGACGAACTTTATCTAGAGAGACTGCTCGAGCCCTGAAGGAGCGAGAGGCTTTGGTGGGGTCTGACTCCGAAAGCGATCCCGGGCTGATGGGAGACGGGGCGGATGTTCAGTCATGAGTCATGCGTGTCATTTGCCCCAGTCCGATGCTGGAATCAGCAAGTTCACATGCATAGCCGCATAACGGCCCTTGGCAGTACGCGCGGGAGACGTTAGCCAGATCCTCGTGTGCTACATGTGCACACGCGATCACACGTGCACGACTGCTGGAATGTGCTGGCAGGTGATTCAGCGAAGGAGGCACGGACAGTACGTGCAGCAACTAGGGTCATGATCTTCACCATGCTCATCAAAATCATGATCCTGTTCTTCAACATCATCAGCCATGGTTTCTGCGGTGTTGAGAGATTCCTCGAGTGCTGTTTTCCATCACGGTTTTAGACCGTCATGTTTAGCGCACAGATAGCAGTAGACCTGCATGGCCGGGAGGAACCAGCTCGGATGGTGCAGCTTGCCCCAGCAGCTCCAACTGCAGTTTGCGCAAAATTGTGAAGACACACGGCAGTGGTGTCCTCTTCTGTTCCGGGAGACACCGTCTGTGCCACAAAGGCCCAAATAGACTGCCCCGCTGGCCATGAGCTGGGTGCATTCTCCTCCCGCCCACCGGACTACAGAAAGTTTGACGGATGCCCAGACCGAAACAGTCATGTGTTGGACTTGCAGATCAGGCTACCAGCACATGTGGAAATTTTCGATACTTGCATTCGTAATTACCCGCGGCCTGACCGTCGAGTGTCCGACCTGTAACTCATCTCGATTGTACGAACTTTAACGACTTTAACTGTAACGAGAGTTTCTGTCAGCAAAGGAGACCTGTACACCTGCGACGTCTGTGGTCGGGACGGCGAGTATCGCTACGGCGTCTATCACTGTACGAAATGCTTTCAGCAAGGCCGGGCAGCTGCCTAGGCCCAGGGTGTGTAGTTGCTTTGTCATGCAAGCCCAGACAACACCCGACCCAAGGCGGCCGCCAATTCGATGCCTGCCCCTCTTGTGGAATCTCTGCTCGCGGAAGCAAAGGTGGCAGAGGTGGCAAAGCCAATAAGGCTTCAAAGAGCAAGCAGAGGAAGCGCTGATAGCATGAAAATGCAGTGAAACGGCCACATAAGCATCCTCTCCCCTCGTGCACTTGCAAGCAGAAGTACCAGTGCAGTCTTAAACTGACGTAAATGACATGCACTGCATCTTCGGCCCCATGTCCTTACTGGCGGCAAGTGGACAGCTGTTCGAATGATGCTCAGACATGGTGAGTTCATGATAGCCGGACAGCATCATGTGGGCAGAAAGCGGCAGACGCACAAGGGAGATCACTTTCAAAAACATCTCGTGACGTTTGTCGGCCGTGAAGCACCGAGCCATGTCGCTTCCGAAGTACAAGGCACCTGTCAAGCGTTGTGCTTGCTTCATTAACAGTGTAACAAAAGCTCTCTAGCATCTCGTATAGAAGCTCAAAAAGGTTTTTGTTTTTGCAAGTGTTGAGTGTGGTCCGCGCAGGTGGTCCTGGTCGGCGACCAGTCCGTCGGAAAAACCGCGGTAGTAGTGCACCTTTCTTAGCTTGGCGGATCAATCGGCATGGTTTGGACGCGAGAGTGCAACGGGTGGACGATGCTGAGGCGATATTTGAAAAACACTTTCGAGGAAAAGGCAATCGTTCCCTTGTGTCGTAGGGGGACGTGTAGCAGCAGAGCAGCAGATGAGAAAGTTAAGTTGTATTTGGAGAGGCAGAGGCAACTATCGGCATGGACTTCCAGACCAAGACGGTGCAGCTGCTGAGTGGTAGCCCAACTCTCAAGCAAGCAATGGTGTTAGCATCTTTTAGATGTTTATTTATGGATATGGCTCTGCCACCAACTGTTGGGAACAAATGTGCTTGTGAGAAAGCGTCGCAACACGCCGGCTTACAAGTTCATACGCTTGCGTGCAACTGCCTAGGTCAGATACGCCTTCAGCTTTGGGACACTGCGGGCCAGGTTGGACATGAATCACGGTGATCGCTGTCAAAATCTCTTCCACGCAGAGGGGTGAGCTGTTGTCACGCGATTGCCTCTCGAGTAAGGGTCGATTGATGTTCCGTGCGGGATATCTGCATGAGCCGAACAACCATGATCTGCAAATTAGTGTGAGGAGAGGTTTCGCAGCTTGGTCAACGGCTACATCCGTGATGCAGCTGCAGCTGTTGTTTGGTCGGTGGCCCAGTCAACTGAGGAGATGCTGTCGCACCTACTACCAGTCATGCTACGACTGGCTTGCACGCTGCATGAAGGAACGGCATGCATATCTTTCCTTGCAGTCTTGTGGTTTGTCCGTGTTTTGCATTCGGTTCGACCTACCAAGTTACGACGTGACCAATCGCCAGTCCTTCGACAGCACCACACAATGGATCGAGGACGTGGCCACGCAGTACATAGCCTGTCAGTGAGCAGGAAGAAGCTTGAAGAAGCCGCCATTGATGATGGTCAGGGCTTTCAGCGGGGCTGTTGCATCAGTACTACAGAGGCTGTTTAACGGCTGTTTGTCACTGCATACAAAAGTTGTTAAATCGGGCAAGACGCCAGCTGTTGAACCTTCGTTGCCATCGAGGACACAAAGGGAAACTTGAGCTGTGCAGGAAGTTCGGCAGTCCCGCGGCGACGATGTCCTTGTTTATCTGGTAGGCAACAAGGTGGAAACCATGATTATCTCAAGTCGCGCGAACTTCGTGAAGTATGTTGCTGGAAGTTGCAGGTGGACCTCGCGGAGAGTCGTGCTTTGACTCAGTTCTTTAGATCTGGGTGCTGACGCCTGTTCCCTGTTGCATCTCGATGTTTGAAGTCCCCAACTGACCGAGGGCAGGTCTCGCGTGCAGAAGGCGAGGCAAAGGCAGCAGAGGCTTCTTGCACCCTACAGACGTTTGGCGGAGATACAGTCAGATACCGCAGCATACCGCGGCCAGCACATCTTCTTATTCCATGTGTGTGCAACAGCAGCCTGGAGAAAACCGAAACCTGAAGAAGGATACCCTGAACAGGTCAAGGGACGATTTGCCGAAACGAGCGCGCGGTCAGGGGACAATGCGCCATCCTGAGAACGCGGGGGCGAGTCCCGCTTCAACGTCAACTGACCTCATCTATCCTGTTTGTTCTGTGTACCTCATTTTGGTCAAGGTCCAAGAGCTCTTCAAGCAATTGGGAGAGGCGGCTGCATGTGCAAGCTCTTTTTGTGCCCCTCCGGACTTAGATAATGCTTTCATGTCATGTAGGCCCTGGCACAGCGGGGGGATGTCGGTGGAGCGCTAAGTTCGTGAGTGAGTTTTTCCATCCAACTTACCCGTATGCGTGTCTTCTAGGAGGGACCGCGGCGAGTCAAGCCAAGGACACTTTCAACGCACATGACATCACATGACAATGACAGTCATAGTCTTCTTAGGCAGGCCAAGACAAGGTGTTTGCTTGCCGATCCTGTGGATTTTCGATTGTGTATGGGTCTTGCGCCGGTTGTTGGTGGGTCTGCAACCCTGCTGAAGCCTGCAGGAGAAGCTGCAACTTGGCGGGTTACCGCCTGAGTACCACAATTGCCAGAAGAATGAGACGTCAAAGTTATGTTGTTTGCGCTTTTAGCTCCAGGACATTGGGAGACCATGCCATACCATGCCTACCGAAGCATCTTCAGATTTGCATTGCGCGGAAGCATGTGCAACCGCCTCGCAATCATGCATTTCGCCAATATGAGGGTGTTGTCCTTGGGTTTGTGTATCGTCGAGGTGCGTGTGTGTGTGTGTGTGTGTGTGTGTGCGCGCGCGTGTCTCTGCGTGTGCGTGCATGCTTGACAGGCAAGAGCAGGTCGACAAGAAAAACAAGGCTTGCAAGCCGTGCTGCCTTGGCGTCGTTGGGTCTCGGAGTGCCGAACGTGGGGAGGCCTGTGCCTGCTAGAGAAGCTCGCATGGCATGCCTCGGCGGTTTGGCACTGAGTCTGTTCGCTTCCTCTTGTCGGTTCACGAGCCCATGGAATGCGCTAGGTCTCACCGGCGTAATTCGCAGTCCCCAACTTACAAGCTCATGTATTTTCTTCAATCCACAGAGTGGGACAGGTGCCGTAACGGCTGATTGCGTCAGGCCAACATGTCACCCGGACTTCGCCGTTCGTTCGCAGAGGCCACCGATAGGTTCAACGTTAGCTTGACATGAGTTTGCTGCTTGCTGTCAAGACCTGAAGGCAGCCTTGCTTGGAGACTTGCCTTGAGTTGCGGGCGGACGTTCCCAAAAAGGGGAACCTGCGGAAAGCACAGCATGTAATTAGGCGGTACAGATGCCTTTCAGTGCCTTTGACTAATTCGTGCATTTTCTGTAAGCGCGAGTTTGGAGAGTCTTGTGGTGGCCAGTGAGGCGGCGGTACGGCAAAGGCTTCAGCCGCCAAAGAGTGCTCCGTGAGTTACGGGCAACAGATGCAAACAACCCAAGACAACTAAGTTCAGATACCGCCTGTACCGACTGTCGTTCGAAAGCGACGTTTTGCTTTAAGCGTGTACTCGCATCCAAAGGCTCAGGCACCTTGCCTCTGTCGTGAGGACAATGCTCAGGTTTCCCTTTGCATCTCCTAGCATCCCTCGTCTCTGCCCAACCAAACTTCCACTTTCCTGCTTGCTTCCGGCCCTACATGCTGCCTTATCGCCTTGATCTGCCGAATGTGTTTTTCCGCATTATTCGGCTTTAGCTTCGTTGCAGTAATTGGATCCTGAAACATGCGGCAAGATTTCAACAAGTTACATCCAAGATTTCAACAAGTTACATCAAGCCGCCACAGCCTCAGCCTCCTTTCTAGCTAGAGCCAAGGAACTATGGGGGCATGTTGCACTGCACCTCAGCGCATGTAGTAGCAAGAAGACTTTAAAGAAGTGTTGAAGGCTGTTCTGTTTGCTCTGCAATCCTACTGTAAACCCATGAAGCCGTAATGGCATTCATGCGGGAGTGCTGGCCAAGGAAACCGTCGGGGGCCTGGTTAGACAGCTTGACAGTGGAAGCTTTGACTTGAGTTCGGTTCCAAGGTTTCGTCGCCAAAGCTTTAGATTGGTGGGTGTCTGCAACCTACAGCCTATTCGTTTCGGCCCGTTTTACATTCCTGATCGTCGCTCACCCGATGTTTTCCAAGGAGACGCTTGAGCAGTCGCTTCAAAAAGTGTCAGCTGCTGAGTGGCCTCGTGCAAAGCTCAGAGGACAGCTGAATCGCGAATTACAATCCCGAAAGGCCCGGCCTCCTGGCCCCGAATGCAGCACCAAGTGATGTTGGCGCCTTAGGTGCTGATCGGATGTCACGTTGGCGGTTCTAGCAGCTGTTCCATCTCACGAAGGTGTTAGCCGGGTCTTTGCAGCGCGTCATCGACGAGGCTTCCGCTTGTCTGATGGTTTCCACGTGCATGGTGGCAGATGTTCCAGGAGCCTCCTCTCCAACCATCGCACCTTTTTCGGCATCACTCCTCCCCGGCTGATTGCTGAGCTTCTGCAAACTATCCAACCTCTTACTCTCCTGCTGTGGAGTGTGACGCGGGTCATCCCTTACAGGCTGGAAGGACGTGATGGCAGTTAGGTCATTTAGTCATCAAGTCCTTGGATGGCACCTCGGTGTCGAGCACGTGACCCACATCAGGCTGAACTGGCATCTCTGGCTTCTGGACAGGCCCGGACTGAAACCGCCCGGCAGTGGCGTTGGGAACGAGCCCTGACGGGGTGCCCGGTGCCCGCAGGCGCTGCACAAGCAGCCGACTCCGGAACACAAGGCAAGGCTCGCAAAACTGCGAGTTGGGCATTTTGGGCTGTGCAACCATGCCCATGATTGTGCATGAAAGCGGCACACGCTGAGGCATGGCTCGTTTTCCTTTTCGTTCTGCTCGATGCATCGAAGAGCTTCAATCCAAGATTCTGCGGTCGTGCCGGCCAGCGGCCGGAGCAAGATGATATGGTAGCTGAGCTTTCTGGCATTTCTGTGGCGAGGCATTGCCGTCAGTCATGCTGCAGTTCACGGTGGACATCTTGGAAGTTTCTTCGCCTTGCGTGCGCGCACCATGCCATGCATGACCGATCCAAGCTCCTACACAGGCCGGATGTGTGCGCCCTTGGTCATCGCGTGGAAGAATGCACTGTCAATAGGCAGGCGTTTGCAAGTCTGCTTGCATGTGTGGGACCTGCTGGGCAGTGCTGGGGGAGGGAAGTGTAGGAAATCTCGACTGTAAGATTCCACTCCCCGATTACATTGTGCAGGTCATGTGCATCTAAAATCTACCTGGCTACCTCTTATTCTCTGAATTTGAAGGTCTGGGCCTGGCGTTGGCATTGGGTCGCGACGGCCTTCCCGGTTTCCGAAACTGCTTGGCTATGCGCCGAGGATTTCAGGCCGAGCTGCAAGCCATGCTAACCTATCTGCTCATTTGTTGCAGTACTATGTTGGGGAGGGAGTGACATGTACGAGGGACAGCCGTACGCCGAAGCTGTTGTCCCTTAGAATGCCGAAGTTTTTTTGTGCATTTTTGTATTGTCTTCGCGCGTCCCGTGCCAGCCACGTCTGTCGCGTTAAGGAGCCCCACATTCTCCGAGAGAACTCGATCTATTGGCAGGGGTAGCCCGCTGTGCCGCCCAAGATGGCGAATTACGGGACCCAGTAAAGACGCCAGTGAAGACCGGTGCACCCGTGCATCAGTTGCAAGCGGAGCGATGGTCTGGCGCTGGCTGCGCACAGAAGTTGTCCACGGCGGTTCGCCATCGCCTTAGACCTGGACGACCCGCTCGGCGATGATCACTGCCCTTCCGTAGCCACTGAAGTTGGGATTTCAGAGGCTTCATGGTCTGGACCTCGGGGACTACTTGAACGGGCACGAAAGCAGAGCCAGAATCCAGGAGGAGTATTCGCGAGAAGAATGTCACGATGGTCGGTTTGTTCGGGGCACTTCGAGCCCTACGGCAGAACAGGATTCGATATTCCGAACTGTTCCGAACCCCGGCCCCCTAGCCGCCAGCCCAGCACTAGCCAGAATTTTCGGAAATGGTTCGGAACGGACCGTCTCGGAACTCGGAACGGTTCGGAAGAGTTCAGGACTTCCGGACGGTTGGGGACTGTTCGAAGGTTGGGACCGATAGGAAACGTACGGAACCGTTGGGGACGGTTCGACACGGCAACGCCTCGGAAGCCCAGCACGCCCCCAGCCCAGCCAGCCCCACCCGCCCAGTCGACCTCGCATTTGCCTGTCGAATTTTGCTGCCGAAGCCCCATCGTCGAAAAGTCGAAAAGCGCACAAAACAATCCTTGCGCTTGTGCTGCCACAGCCGGCTGTCGCCGAGTATTCCCATTCACGGCCCGGCGCGACTGTTGCAGGATGTGCCTTCATTTCTTTTGGAGTGCTGCAGGAGCTTCTTTCAAGGTCTAGGGCCTAGGGCCTAGGATCTCCTCTAGGTTCTGGGGGCCCGCAGCCCATCTTGGTTTACGGTTTGGTGTTGGCGAGGCAAGGACTTCGCGGTTCAGGGTCTGCGTTTAAGGTGCGGAGTTTGCCGAGCAACATTTCCTTTGGGAGTCTTGGCTAACAACATCTCCTTTTATCAGTTGTTTTGGCGGGGTGCTGCCCCAAATCTCTCAGCGTGTCCACGCTGCAGGGGCTGCTTTCGAGGTGTGAAGATTGCCGAGCAGCATCTGCTTTGAAGGTTTGGTCTTCGCCAACCAACATCTCTCTCCGGGGCACTTCGGATTTTAGAATTTTTACATTTCCAGGACGAACAAGTTTGAAGCCAAGTCCTGCCTTCGCAACTTAGTACGGGAGACGGACAGAAGAACAATATTTGCTGAACAACACGTTCATTATTGCGGCCGCAGGATAGGGAACGGGAGTGAGAGAAGCGCGCGTCAACATCTGTAGCCCGAGCCATGCTGTCGAGCTGAAGCGTATGCCTAGTACGACGTACCCGAAAATATCTGATCTACAAGCTGCTTCTGTGATGACGTTGGTCATGAAGATACGATCAGCGAATAATTGTGTCCACAGCCAGTGAGCTACGATTTCGCTCACCACAATGTATTACCTGCCGTGTATCTGGCATAATCTGGTCATGGGCATGCAGAGACTTTCTGATCCACTTGGACGTAGATGGTAGCCCGAACAGGTGTTACCCATTGCTGCGGCTTTTGGCTTCGCTCAGCTGTGCGCCATGAAGGCTGGCTCCTCGCATTTTGACTTGATTTCCGTCAACATGGCACCAACCCATGGCACTTCACAATGCTGTGTCGCGCCATGTGTCCCTTCAAGAAACCAGCTTGTCTCAGGGAGGCCATGACCTCGAGTTTGTCTCTGCCGAAACAAAATCCTTTGCATGCAATCTTGGATACAAAAGGGTTTGTGACTACACAATGTTGCTCTCAGGCGCTTCGGTTTTACGATGCTGGCAGTCTGAAGGTGATCGCGCAGGCACATATGCAACACTTCCCCAATTCATGTAGGCATGAATCGGAAGCTGTCGTCATGCTCCTGCCGCTTGAAGGTCAACCTCCCATTAACAGCATTGCTTTCGTGGCTGCTTCTCGATCGGCGCACCCTGGCCTGTGAAATGCAAAGGGATCCGGCTTGATGCAGTCAGATCGTCACGGCCTGTGCAGCCAACGAGTGCCTGTGCGACGTTGGAAGGCTATTCCGCACAGAAGTGGCTAGCAGTGGCCTGCGCCTCACGACGGTTGACAGCACAAGGGCTTTCGCATTCATTGTCGTAATGCAGATCACGCCTCGCACTACTTTGACAACAGAGTCTTGTCTTCGAGCTAATCGCACTCAAAGCGGCAGACTCTTCCTGCGGTTTTCATTGAATCCCTCTGGATAAAACGCTCTGACAAACAGAATCCGTTTTTTGTTTTCTCAGGGCTGGAAAGGACATGCATGTGGCCAGTGCACCGCATGGCTTCGTCAAGTGCCCTTAGCCAGGCGAGAGTCATGGGCCCAAACTTCTTTGGCCTTTCAATGCCTTTCAATGACTATCCCAAAAGCATGCTGAGTCGATGCCGATTGCTCAAGCTTGAAGGTGTCGGGTTCTTGTTCGGGCATGGAGTGTTGGGATGACATGGAGGATCGTGGAGGTGTTGTTGTCAAGAACTTGTCAAGCAAGCGGTATGTCTGCCGGATTTTCAGGGCCTGATGTTGGTTACCAATGTGGCCTTCCTGCAGGCTGGTCGGTGCTTGCAGTCTTGCACACAAGTCGCTAGTCATATTTGGCCCGAATACGATCGCGTATGCCCACGGCTGGTGTCGTTTTTGATAATTTGCTCATATTTGCTCCAGGTTCGGATGCTTGTACTTCAACCGCCGAGCCTTTGGCCTAGCTGCAGTGCAGCACCACTTTCGGCCATGGATCATGGTTTGACCAGACGGCCAGGCTGCAGAGAGGAGCTGTGCGATGACTCGCCATTCAGGACCCAGCTCATTCTCTGCATCTCACGACTTGCAGATTGGGTGAGTGGGCGGTCTCAGATCATGGAGTAGTTGGGAAGGTGAGCGGTTAGCCGCGTTCAAGTGCTGGATCAGCACGGGGATTTCGCATGCGCCCACTGCTTGAACAGGATCGCACCCAAAGTGTTGGGCATGTTCTACTTCTTGACCCTCGCCAGCATTTGGTGCGTTAGTTCCGCGCACTCACCGAGGTAGAAAACGGGTAGGGCGACTTCCAAGAATCTCCAAAACTCTGCCAAAACAACATCATGAGGAGACTGGTGAGTGGCGTTTTACATGAATTGCTACACTCAGCAAGGCTTGGAATCGCTGTTTCCTGCTCTGCGCCTGCCTTACGTGAAGTCAGTAGGCACGTCCAGTGTCATACGACGGCGGGCAACTGGCATGGTAGGCTTCGATCTTCGCAGAAAAATTCTTGAAGAAGTGGCCTGAAGAGTGCGGATCCTGGCTTCTTTCAGAGTTCGGGTAGAATCAGGCCGGAGTGTTGCAAACGTGGCGCAGGCCGTTCTACATTCTGAAGACGAACCTCATGATAGGGGAACTCATCCTAGCAGTGCTGGGTGTCATCAACAATTTCAAAGAGGCGGCAGCGTGGCTTTAGTGCCAGTTTACAAGCACTCCCTGAGAGCCAGCTGCTTTCAGTTTTCTTGTTGTTTGTTGGCCTGGGAGTCTTGGGACGTCCGCAAGGCTACAGTACTTACAATACAGGATGGGTTCGGAAGGGTGGAAGATGTTATGGTGGGGTGCGGGGGGGGGGGGGGGTTGTAACGTGCTTCCAACGAGGCTCACACGGTGGTTGGTTCAGCCTAGAGAAGGTGTACTAGCACGCTGCGTGCGCCGCGGGGTACTGCTTACACCTTGGCTCATCTGCACATTTCACCTTGCCTGTAGCCTGTATGTACAGCTTCGACGTCCTTCACATGGCCGTGTGCGCATGCCTGCAATTCATGAGGCTACGGTCCCCAGGCTAAAAAAGAGGCCTTCGCGGGGTTGACTTCGCGGTAGATGCCCCGCGCTGCCTACCTACCATGCGCAGACCTATTAGCACAATTACGACGGCACAGTCTGCAGTCCCAAACTAGAACTTCCAACAAGAGGGTTCTGTGAATGTGGGGGGATCATGCCGCCGCAGTCTGCCGTGCTTCCAACGACCAGCATGCAATTGACAAGGGTGGAAACGGAGCGCGAGGCCTTTCATTTCGCTGCAAGCCTGCACCCCCGGGGACACTGCTGTCCTGCCTAGAACGGGTGAACCAAGACATGCCAGGATCCACAAAATTTCAAGCCTGCGCTTTTGCATTCGTAAGGTTCTGTTTGCCCTGGGTCAGGACAGTGCAGACGAAAGCAACGATTCCTGCTCCTGGGACCAGCCGTTTCCCCGGACCCAAAGCACTACGCTGATCCCTGGTTATTGCGTTGGTGGATGGCCCACAAGGTTCCACGACTGGAGGAGACAACTGCCGGTTGTCCTCGTGTGGCGCCCCTCTGAGCATCAAGACGAGATCGCAGAACTTGGGAGCTCATGCGAGACGTGGGCTGGACCGAGCCATGCTGAGGCTTCTTCACGGCTGGATTGCTGGCCTTTTGGTCAAGCGATGTTCAGCGTTGGTGAAGAATGTGCCAAGCTCTTGGACTTGCACCGAAGGCATTGCGGTCAGCGCAAGCACTCGAAGAACCACGCCGTCGTGAAATGCACTGTGCTGCAGAGTGACGGTGACAGTAGGCTCAGTAGGCTGCCTGTTCTGCACGGCAATAAGCCGCACTATGTAGATTCGGTCGAGACAATGCAAGGTCACACATTCTGTCTACTCTTGCAACGCCCGCTTCTTAGGATTTCTTAGGGACTTGGGGCCTTTGAGATCATGATCAGGCCTTGCTTCTGCCAACAGCAGCAGCTCAAGTATCGGTTATTTAATCCTTCTTCAGGTATGGGTACGCTCTGCTTACGCATGCGCTGCCCTTCTCGTGGCCACTGCCTGAGCGCCGGACGTGAAAATAAGTAACGGAGCTGGCTGAGGGCAAATTATGAGAAGGTTTCGGCTCGGAGACTCGCGGTGAGGCCAGTAACACAGGCCGGCGTGCTGGTGCTTTTGGCAGTGCCTCAGCTGAAGGTGGTTTGTATGTGCATAGGTATAGGTTTGTACTGCAGACTCCATGTCGGCCATCTCAACACCCATGGGTTCGGCATGCTCCATACCGAGGTGCTGAACTTCGCATCAACTAGCGACCAGCGCAGCCACAAGGAGACTTCTCAGAAGCCTTGCACGGAGTGCCAATGCCGAAGACTGCGGAAGCCAAGGAGTCCAGGCGCAAGCGGGCCGAATCCCCAGCCAGTGGACTTGGAGACGCAGAAGACGACATGTTCAATCTGCTTGCTTCTCATGCCGTCTCAAGCTCAACGTGCATATGCAAAATGTCGCTGTAAGCTCGTCTGAAGGAGCAAAGTTGGGCATTTCAGCTGAGCTGCGAAGCGCAGGCAATCTGCGCCTCGAAACCGCTCAATCCAGCAGCACGAGCAGCACACGAATCAAGCAACAAAGTCTAACCTAGCGACCTAACGTGTTGGGGTGGGAGAGGCCTTTTCAAGACCGGTGGACAGCTTGTGCCAGCTTTGGCTACCACCGGGCTGCCAATGCCGCGAAAGCCTCAGCGTAGCACGACGAATGCAGCTGAACGCAGCGACGAGGCGTGTCAACCCCAAAAGGGTGGGCGCGAGTTCGGAGTCCAGGGCACGAAAGAGGAGGTCGTAAATTCAGGCACTCAGCAAGCAAGGCCGTACATCGATAGCAGAGCATCATGCAAGGATATCCTCCGCCAGCGCCGGCGGCAGCATGGCGTTTAAAACTCTGTTTAGAGGTCGGTGAGCGCGTCAGTTTTGAGCTGTCGCAGCTTAGGATCGAGGCTGTGCAGACTGCAGATTTTATTATGCTTTTGCTCTCCTGGCATCTTTGGCTTTTGGCACTGATTTGGCTGGTGGCTTTCGCCGAGCTTGCTCCTGTCAAGCAAAGTTGGTCTGCTGGCTTGGAAAGCAGCCCTGTCGTCCTCTTTAGCTGCGGACAGCTTTGCGGGTCCCTCTCCAGGTGGGCCTTCTGAGACTGTAGAAAAACAAGCCGCGGAAGCGGTGGCGGAATCTGTGTTGCAAAAGCGAACGTCATCAGCGCCCCTAATAATTTCCGAAGCAGATTGACGCCAAACGGCGAGTGGCCTGCCTGGCGGAAGCCCTGGTACCTGGCATGGGTCGTGGTGCTGGGCGTCATGGCCGTCAGCTGCGTGCAGGTGCCGATAGTTTCCAAATGCTGTCACAGGTTTGCCTCTGATTGCCCTAGCTTGTGAACCTTGTACGAAAATGATGGAAACATTTCAAGCACCGAAGCTGCTGATATCCTCGAGACAACTTTTGCATGCAGAACTCCGCGCTTGTGTCGGGCGGACTTTGTGGGCTGCTGGGCGCGGCGATGGCCTGGGCGTGTCCTGCAGGGGCAGGATCTGCCCTGCAACCCAAGGCGTCACGATCCGAAGTGGCAAGCGATCTGTAAATTCAGCGGAACTCGGCACTAGCACTGGAGCTGGAGGCGCCTTGTGACGCTTCCCTCGGACGCGGGCTCGTCATGATAGATGGGCTGACTGGTCTTTTGCTGGCTGCGCGGCAGATAAGCACTGCAGCTCGGTCGAATGCCGATTCATGGTCCCATGACCCATGACATCTGGTCAGTTAGTTTGAAGTCTGAAACTCCCCAGGCTGCAGCACTGGTGTTGTCGTGCTTTGCGTTCATCCTTTCAATAGGGGTTGACAACAGGTCCGCCGGCTAAGAGCTATACTGTAGGACACGGCAAGGAAGTTGCACAAATCACATTGTGCTTCAAGCTCTTGTGTGCCTGTGTCCTGCTTCCAAAGAGTTTGTATGTGCTTCAAGATTGCCACCTTTGTATCAAGGTGCTATGGCAGTCTGGACCGGATGTGCTCGCGGCCTCCATCACGGCATTGCGCTGGAGCTGCACATAGCCCTACGGATCAGCCCCGAAACAGCTCCAATCTTCAGCTGCAGAATTTTTAAGCACCGGATTTTGCTTCTTTCAACTCTGCACCTGACCTGGTCTGGCGTAGATGTCAAGACGCGACATATAGTGGGCCCCACCTGACCTGGTCTGGCATAGATGTCAAGACGCGATATATAGTGGGTCTGCACCGTGCTAAAGCTAGTGATAGGACATGCTTGCTGACCCGGCATCACCACTTCGCAGCTTTCGAGTGATGATTCTCGATTTTGCTCCCGCAGTGGCAGAAATGATTGGTCTTTCCCGAGGCCATTGCTGATGTTGTCAGTGGCGCTGGTGTTCTCGTCTTCCGACAGTTCTTCGCTGCGACTGGGTGTCAAGGTATGTAGAGCGCAGGAAAGTTCATGACAAATGGAGGATGGGAATTTCTTTTTGCTCGTCCTTAGAGGATCCGCCCCGTAAGGCTGGTGTCTGTGCCGTCGGCCATGTCGCACCTGGCAGCAGCCGCCGCCTATTCTGTATCTGGCAAGAAATACGAAAGTTTACGGTGTCTCCATGATCATGACGGCGGACGTCGGCAGAGCTGCAGCCGAGGTGTTGTCCACGAACGATTGGGCAGCCGTAGCCATTCTAGCGCTTGCCTTGATGGCTCATTTGGCCCTGTACTTGCCACTCCCTATCAATGATCCTGAGCCTTCGGCTGCACCGAGCGTGCAACTACAGCTCAAGAAGTTCCAGACAACTTGCATGGAAAGCGGGGAAATGCTGCGCAAGTTTGCGGATCTGGATGTGACATGCTACTTCGGCCTGCGGTCAGGAGAGCAACCCCTTCTACACATCTCTGCGACGGGTGCGACATCAATTTGCAGCTCCTCTAAGCCGGCTTTCCCATAGCAAGGTGCTTTACATGCATCGTGTTACATTCCCAGGCGCGCTTTCTGGCACAACCCGTCTCTGGTTTCGGCCCTGGCCTTACGAAGTGTGTCGCCGATGGCTCAGTGGGGCTTAGGTTGCCAGGTATTTTTAGCGGCCACAGTTTTTTCAGATTCTCCGCAGGAGACGAAGGCTCCTGAAGGTCGATGGTTGTCTCGCGCGATGCCTGGAGACGAACTGGTCGTGAGCTGGGCTCACGTACATGCAGTGAGGAATCTGATCATGACAAGGGCTTCGCTTAGCCTTGATGAGCCAACATACTGTAGCAGGAAACTAGCATGTGACACAATCGTGACGTCCGGACAGATCCTGCTCATGCCCGAAGTCCCGAAGGTCGTTGTGCATAGGGCTTGCAGTGGGTTCGGCACGATGGAGTTGGCCGCAGTTAAAAATTCCAGCGCTACAATGCTTACAAAAGCGTCGTGCCAGCAAGACGAGGTCTGACGACAGATCGGTCCCGACGCTGCGTCCTGAAGACATCTTGCTTTCTTGGCTCAAAGAGTTGTGGCAAGTGCTCTCAACCTGAATTCAGAGACTGCAGGTTTTTTTTTTTTGAGCCCTGGCAGCGTTTGATGGAAGCTACATGCTCGCGCATGGTGCAGCAGCGCTGTGGGTGTGTCAGTGTGGCTTTCGCAACCGCGACTCCAATGTCGTTTGTGGTGGTTTTGGCAAGCTCGGTTGCAAGAAGCCCCGGCCGCAACAGGAGGACTTGCCACAACATCCGGGCCTGAGTTTGCAGGCTGCTGTGCTTACTGAGACACCTGCCAGTCCTGCCAGTCCAGCACTCGATGTCTCGCCACCAGATGATCTTGAGCTGAAGTTACTCAGCCTTTTACAGAGAGAGCCGGAGTCGCCGCCGCCTTTGGACGCCACACACGCGACAGACACGGCAGACTGCCAGATTCCTGGAAACGCAGCTGCACAATCGCTCCCCTCCCAAAGTACACAGGAGATGCTGGAATGGACGTGTCAATGTGGATTCCGGAATCGTGCGTCAAACGCAGTTTGTGGGGGCACTGGACGTCTTGGTTGCGGCTTGCCGGGGCCGCGAAGCTTTCAAACACCTGGCACTTCCTCCGGCTCGAACTCTTCAAAGCCGCAGCCCGCGAAGATTCAAGCCTCGCCGGCTCAAGCGGAAGCCACTGCCAAGGAGGAGCCGGAGAAAGTCCTCGCTGGCTCGGGAGCCTTCGTCGGCATTCCCCAGCTAGATCTAGCAGTTAACCTAAGACCAGAAAATTAAAATCTTCAGATCTTCGCTAGCAGTCGCAAATCTTGCTGGATGCATGCCGAGAAGGATTGCAGACCACTTCGACTGTGCCCGGTGGAGCCTGGGTCTGCACCAGCAACTCTGCTGGACTGGAGTGCGTTTCTTTGAAACCGCAACTTTGAACTCATGCGTGGTCTCACTGCCGATGAACTGTAGATGCTAGATGATGCTAGTGCCGGGATGAAACGGTTTGAGAAACTGGTGGGGGCTCCTCAGCCTTCATAGTCTTCCCGCCTTATGTGGTAATGCCACGGGCTGCCGGGATCGGGAGCTGGGGTCCCCCGTTCGGAGCGAACAGTCTTGGCCTGCTTGGCTTGCCCCAACATCTAAGACTCTACGAATCATTACACACAGAATCCTGCCACTGAGTCGCAACCCTATGCATCATATGATACAGTTCCTAAATTAAGGGCTAGGTGGTTGGAAATTAGGGATCAGTTTAGTCTAAGTAGTAGTTTAGTCGTTCGATTGAGCAGCCGTTCAGATGGCAATCGCCTTTTGAGGTTTTTGATCGGCGTGGGAGCTTGTTGAGGTTGGATCCATCTGACGAAATGTCCTTCCCGCCAGCTCAGCCTTCCCGCTCCCCCAGTTCGGACTTTCTCGTCGCACATCCCGTTCCTGGAGCAGACGCAGGAGTTCGTGGTGCATTAGGTCGAAAACGGTCCACGCCTCGCTTTCGGTGGACGACCTGGACGAGCGGCAGATCAGGCCGTTGCCGAAGTCGAGATCTGAACCATGTTGAATCCCGCCAGCTCGATCAATGCCTCCGAGCGAGATCAAGTTGTGCCTCCCAGCTCGGGATACCACCGCTCCTTGTACTCGCTTGCCAACCACTGGACCCCCTGGACAGCATCAAGGCAGTTCTGGTCTTCACACGATGTCGTCGGTCATTGCACAGGAATGAATCACACCATTTCAGACGGGGCTCATGTCTTGCAGCCGTAGCTAGGAGGACCACTACGTCCCTGCTCAACAGTTGGGAACGGAACGGAGCAAAACCCAAACCAACACAGGCAGGGCTTGTCATGGGAGCATTGCGATGCGCCATCTGATGGCCCTGAAGCATCCCTAACCCATTCTTGAACTGGACCCGTGGAAGCACAAGCCTCCGATCTTCTCACAAGGTTGCGGGTGGAGAAATCAGGCGCCTTCTCAGAGATTTCCAGTCTTGTTTACAGCGCAGATTCCGGCAACCGAATGCAGGCATGCAACGAGGTGTGTGGTGGTGTTGGTCGCCTCGGGTGCAAAGCTCCACGGAGTGGACGTGCAGAGGCCCGCGCCGCATCAAAATTTGCTGTTGCATTTTGAATTGGATGTGACAGTGGCCGCCTTGCGCCAAATAGGCCCCCGACCACCGTCGAATCATGGAGTAGACTGATCTGGAAATGCAATCGTTATGCTGCCGTGCCATTCAAAGGAGCCCGACATTGTGCCAGTGCAGGAGAAATGGCGACTTGACAGATCTTGGTCGGGTTTTCCTATTTCAATCCTTTCTCATGCATTGAGTTCAGACGGTGCTAGCAGTGTGGCTTTGCATGGTGTCCTGCCTTTGTTCGCAATCCGCATTCGTAGTGACATATATCAATTGCTCGTAAGTTATTCAGCAGTCTCCTCGTCGGTCTGGACTGCTGCCCCTGCGTGGTGGACATGTGCGGATGTTGTCATCAGACTTGAGTTTTCAACATCCTGTCTAGAGCTGCCTGTTGTCAGAAGGGCGAGCATGCAGGTTTTGAGTTTGAACCGGCGCGAGTGCACTGTCATCGACACAGGCTTCTTCGAACCCAAACATCCGCAGCCACGAAAGTCCACTGTCCGGAGTCGCTTTCGAACCTGAGGCTCCGTGCAATGCGAACACTGCAGGGAAGACCTTGCTAGGCAAGTAAGAAGCCTTAACGGTCCGGGGAGAATTCCACCGCTAAGCTGCGGCATCTAGACATGTTAGGCCAGAGACCACAAAACGCGTTTGCAGTGCCGGACCTGAACAGGTTCTGTGTTCCGTGATACGCCGCTAACACCGCACGAGTTCAAAGAGCTACTCGTAGCACGGTTTGAACGATCTCACGAGGTGATGCTGCGGTCCCGTCAGAAACTACTCAGAAGCCAAAACAGTCCCACGTGCGCACGCCGTTTCACCGTCCGTGTTAATTTGCCTTCCTGGCCTGGCGCATCAGGATTTCAGAGATGTCAAGTCACGATCGGCTCGGTGCAATGCCTTGCAGCGGCCTTCTGTCAATCTTCGTGGCTTCCCGCAAGGACCTGCCAAGCTTGCGGAGCCGAGAACGACGCGGAGCAAATTACAGCCTGTTCTTCCTGCAGCATACCACGGCGCCTCAATGGAGTGGTGAAATCAATAGGCCGGCATCTGCCCAATCGTATCGGCTCATGTGGAGCTCCAGGATTTTTTTCGCAAAGAGCTTTTGAGCTCATGCCAAACATGCTGGCAGAACAATTGCAGAACTGCTTGTCTGCACGCAGGAGGTGACTATGGGTTCATCTCCTGTCCACAGACAGCATCTGCTTTTGGACGTGATGTGCTGCGTGGTCGAATTCATTCCGCTCATAAATGCTGAACGGTTCAGGCTTCGTTTCGCCAATGTTTCGAGCATGTGTTTCTGCTTGGGCTGCACGAGGTACGTCAGCAAGCAGGTCCTTGATGCTGCCTTTCGCAAAGGCTGGAGCTTCGCATATTCGAAATCATGTACTTCATTAGCAAGCTTGGAGTGGACTGTTGGCAATCCTGCTTGCAGGCAGAGGTGCAAGCAGTGGTGTGTCAGTCTTCCGCTGAGTCTCTCAACAAACTTGAATTGTGGGTCATGACCCGCTTTCGCATTTGTCCTCTGTGTCAGGTGAGTTTCATCGTTTGGCTGAACGAAAGTGGGCAGCCAAATGCAAGCAAGGTGGTTCCTGTCGATGGTGGCAGTGTGCACGAGGCGTCATGCTGCAGAGTGCTGAAAACCGCTGCACTGTCTCTCACGTGTCCCGTCTTCTAACAGGACATGGAGTTTCACGGCACCGTCAAGTACATGTCGAAGGAGAAGGGCTATGGTTTCATCGAGTGCAAGGAGACGCGTCTGAAGCAAGCTTTCAGTTGCAACTGGGAGTTCGGAACCGACGTGGAGCACGTCCACGATGCCAAACATCAGCTGAGCATCCACACAGGGGTCCAGCGGTCCAGCAGTGCAGAGCCGCACCTGGCAGACAAGCTGCTACACAATGTAAGGAGGGAGGCAACTGTTGGGAGCAGATTACAGACCGTCTGACGATTTAAGAGCATAAACAGAACTCATGCTCTGGCCTGCGCGTGTCCCACTTCCGGATCTATCTACTTGTAGGAGATTCGGGCTGAACGCGCCCTGTGTGATGCGACGACATGCCGGCAGTGTGATTTCTCTCCTGAGCGTGTCCTTGGGTCATGTGATGTGCTGTGACCTCGAGCTGGTTGATCTGACTTAGCCACACCATGGTTTGCCACCAGGGTGGGCGAGTCCACAACGCAGCTTGAGCATGATTCGCTGGCCGAATCGATCGCGCAGGAGACTTTCGATCTCTTTAGCTCTGACGTGTATGCTGATCTCCCAGTGCTGAACGACTGCTCGCTGGGTCAGCCCGTGAATTTTGGCATCAGGAGCCCAAGCTTGCATTGAATGTGAGTTTAGACATAAATTACGTACAATTGGCTGCCAGCATTCGTTGCAAGCCTGAAAGGTTGGGACAGATTGGCGGACGCCCGCAGGTTCGCAACCTTTCAACTGCTGGCCCACCACCTGAGCACCTACCAGCCGGGCACTTAAAGTAGCAACCAGTAGCTGTGAGTGAAGCCTTCAGTATCCAACGGTCAACTACAACCTTTTTAATTCCAAAACACTCGGACAAAAACTGCACTCCCCCCACCCCAACCCCATGGTTGCACAAGAGCCATGTGGGATTCCGAGAGCGCAGATCTGAAACTTGACATCCTGATAAAGATTTCAGTCAAAGTGACGCTAACACTGAGCCTTGTATCAAAAACATGGACCGATCAGCAGTTCCTCCCGTGAAGCCTTTTGCCGTACCGTAACCTGCAGTCCTCGCCTGGTCCCCACCGTCTCGTGCAGCCTGTGCGGCATGATGCAGCAAGGACGAACCCAGCACCTCAAGTGAAGGCTCCCTAGCATGAGTCCAACGCAGCATCTCCTTAGCTGCTTGTGTGGAGTCTGAGACAGGGATGGGTGTCGTGATTGAAGGGGAGGACATGGCCACTCGATTCAGCCCTTCGCGGGCACAACGTAGAGCCACAGGGCTTGCCCGCCAAAGACCACCCTCACCGAAAAGAGTAACCTTAGCGATGCAGTTTGCCGCACCCTGGTCTTCTAGCAGGATGGGGCAACTGCTCGGATTCGCATGTACTCCGGCTCTAGCTGGCTCGCAGAGAAGTAGATCCTCGCCTGATCATGAGTCAGACAAAGTTGGGGCAAAACGTCAAACTGGTATCTGCGTGTGTGCAAATGCAAAACAGCAAAAGAGTGCCTCCTTCGAATTCGTTCAAGGATGACGCACTGCAGTTTGTCCAAGTTCGTGAGTCATGCATGCGATTTCGTACGGCATGCGGAAAGCATCTGCTTCGAGGCAACCTGCAGTTCTTTGGCAAAGGAAGTGCTATCCACAGCTTGGGCAGGGCCAGTCTTGCTCTTGGGGGAAGGCGTGATCTGAGTCGGGCTGTGTTGTGCTGTCTTTGTTTCTGCGTGCACGGTGACAAGACCAGCCTCCTACTGCGTTGCAGGTGACTTCACGTTTGCTGCTGCAGCGGCCACCATCCACACAGAATCCAAGCTGGATGCCACAGTTGTGTGTCCTCGCTGCACTTGGTTTGTCAAGATGCCAGCTCTTTGTCTTTGTCGCTGTCAGGCTGGAGGAAGATCTGTGGCAGGAACGCTTCCCGAATCACCACAAGGTTGTGGATGCACTCAAGGAGTTGGGACACAGCATTCGTTTCGGCGTGGACGCCAAACAGGCACATGTGAGCAAATAGACTCGTTTGTGCAAAATGGGTATTGAATTCTGGCACAGAGCCCGCATGACCCCGACAAACCTCCCAATCAGGTCGACTGTGCAAACTATTCGATGATCGTCTTCAACTTCCCAGCAGTGTCAGCACAAGAAGCCCCGCGCGATGATGGTGGAAAGCTGTCAGCGAGTGGAGAACTAGCCTTTGGGTTCCTGATGAATGCCAGGGCCAGCTGGGAAGATTTCGGATGCGTGCTGCAATTCTTCTGAACGTTTGGTGCTGACAGATGCTACCAGCTGCAAGCACGGTTTGAACCACCGAAAATCATCGTCGTCGTCGTCGTAGTCACAGTGAATGTGTAGAGCATTGAGCTTTATTGAGCTGAGAGTCATTGTAGCATCTGACGCCTTGGAGGCGGTGGCAGTGATAACCATGGAAGCACACGTCGTAGCAATCCTCGTGGAGGTAGCAGAAGGAGAAATATGTTGTACTGGTGACGGTTGCAGTGCTTCCAGATGCCTGGTCAAAGCTGCAGGGTATTGAATGAGATGAAATAGTGTGCACCACAGCGCCTCCTCAAAAAAAGTAGCAGCAGTAGTAGTAGTAGTAGTCGTAGTCGTAGTCGTAGTCGTAGTCGTAGTCGTAGTCGTAGTCGTAGTCGTAGTAGTAGTAGTAGTAGTAGTAGTAGTAGTAGTAGTAGTAGTAGTAGTAGTAGTGGTAGTGGTAGTGGTAGTGGTAGTGTTAAGTGGCAGTGGCAGTGGTAGTGGTAGTGGTAGTGGTAGTGGTAGTGGCAGTGGCAGTGGCAGTGGCAGTGGCAGTGGCAGTGGCAGTGGCAGTGGCAGTAGGAGTAGGAGTAGGAGTAGGAGTAGGAGTAGTAGTAGCAGAAGTAGTAGTAGTCGTCGTCGTAGTAGTAGTAGTAGTTTTAGTTTAGTATTAGTAGCAGTAGCAGTAGTAGTCGTAGTCGTCGTCGTAATGGTAGTGGTAGTGGTAGTGATAGTCGTCGTGGTCGCGGTAGCAGTGGTGGTGGTGGTGGTGGTGGTGGTGGTGGTGATATGATAGTGGTAGTAGTGGCCGTGGTAGTAGCAGCAGTAGTAGTCGTAAATGTAGTACAGTACTCTAATGTCGTCTGTGGCAGCCTGTGGATAGGGTCGCGGAAACTTCCCACCAACAAAAACATCACACCTGCACTGAGCGAACAATTGCCAGCGACGCTGCACACAAAAACATCTTACAAGTCAGTCTTGCATCGGTCTTCGCTTGATGTTTGGGGTGGGCAGCTGCTTCGAAGCAGCTGCAAGGCAGCTTTCTGCTGAGCTTCTTCCTTCGCATGGCACTGACAATCTGCACGCTTGTGCTTCACAGCAGAAGCTGGACAAAATCCGATTAGTTGTGCGACCTCCACATCGCAAACTGCAAGACACATGGCTGAAAGTCAGCCACAAATGTACAGCGACCCAAGTCAGCAGCTCCGGACCACTTGCAATGTGCTTGAACCAACGACCCTGCAATTTAATCGTGATGCTTCGAGCCCCGCTGGATACTGACTTTTGCCACTTCACTCCTCCTGGGTTATACGGCCGAGGCTTACAACTCCCCCAATATTCTTCGATCCGTCCTCCAAACAACAAACTGATCACAACCTGTCAGTGTTCTTCTTTGGTGACAGGGTGCTGTTTTGACATGGGGAACTGGGAGGTGTGCAGATGTTGTGTGGCTGTGTGGTGGGCATGGAGGGTACGAGCTGTTTTGCAGGCCTCTGCAGACATTGGGACGCTGCTGGTCCTTGGTTTATGGGGCCGTTGTGATGGTGGCGCAGACCCCCGGCTGTATGGCCAGGCGGGCGGAGATGATGGCATGGACCTTGGCCTTTCTGTCTGCCTGCAGCGATTCAGTGATGCTTGGCCATTGGCAGGACTGCCATGAGCTTGTGGCAGCAGCTCTGACAAGGGATGGTGAGAGGTGTTTGGAGGATGCATTGCCTGGAGACTTGACGAGAACTGATGTCGCTTCGTGAATGTCTGCTGCTAAAAAACATGTTTATCCAGTGCGGCGTTCCGGATCTGCGGATTGTCTTCTGCCAGCTGAGGTGGCTATTTGCGATCTGGTGTGTATGCTGATTACGGCTTCTACCACGCTTATGAGCAGGCTCGAGGAAATCTCCGGAGGTAGGTCCTCTTCCGCCCTTGTGCTTGTCGTGTATGTTTTCTCGAAGACGACATTCAGCTTTAAAAAATCACGGGCTGCACTGACACGATCTTGTTCAGCCCTGGTGCAGTATAGAGGTAACGCAGACCAAGAGTCACATGCAACGAACGCCTCTTTGGCAGCTTCAGGAGGGCTACTCCTTCCGCACCAACTGCATCGCTTCCTTTGAGCCGGGCCTTCAATTACGAACAGTCTGCGATGTTTGTCGATGTGCTCGGGCACACACCTTTCAGCGAGACTGGAAGTTGCGGTTGGCATGTTGGCATGCACGCATACAAACCGGGCCAAGGAGAGCTCCCACAAGGAGTGGCACTTGCAGGCATGTTTCCTTCTCCGGGTTGTGGCAGCTGCGGCGACAGATGGGGAAAAAGGCTGTGTGAGCTTGCCTTATGTGGCTCGTGGCGCTTGCAACCAGCTTGGTTTCGACCTCTCCACAGAAGCACGGCTAGTTTTGGAGATCTACAGATGCGAAGTGAGGTTTCTCTTCCGCTAAGGAGAAGCTGGTCGAAGAGACTCGGCCCATTCGGCGAGGTGTCTCCGAAAGCGAGCCTGGAGCTCAGCGAAAACCGACGACAGGGACGACAGCGACGACAGCGACGGCTGGCATCCACTAAACAGCAAAGGCTAAAGCTTCGGAGACAAGGCGGCCCCAAAGACTGGGCCAAAGACGCTGGAAGCTTGGAGCCGTAGAAGCGGCCTGCCGGTTGCGAATCAGTCTGCAAAGGCCAGTGCCGCTGAAGATGGCGAAGGTGGAGAACTCGGAAAACTCACAAGTCTGATGCCCAGCTTGGCGAATAGTTTCATTCTCGGCCAGCAAACTTTTGAGGCCCACATGCAGGGGCGGCCAGTTGCATTCTGCGCCACCTAAGCTGAGGTTCTGAACCAGTCCAGTTGAGAAGTGCCTGCTACCAAATGGTGAACACACGACCATCTTGTTTACACCTTGCGTAGCTTTCCATCTAGGTGGCAGCCAAAGATGTTGTCGATGCAACACCAGAGACGCGGTTGGCGGCTCACTCCGCTGTTTGTGGCACCGTGTCCGGGCTCTGTGCTCTGCCAGGCCCCCCTCTCGAACAGTTTCGCCAACACAGCCTGCGCGCCGAAGCCCCAAAACCTCAGATGAGTCATTGGTGCATACGCTTGTCTGAGATGGGGTGACGGGCACGGGGCATCCTCAGGCCATCACGCGGTGAATGGAATTTGGTTTGTTGTGGTCTGCTTCATCATACTCGATGCCCTGAAACCTATTCTGGCCGCTTGATTGCAATCCGGCATGGCAGCACTGTGCAATGCTGATAAGGGCTGATAAGTGCAGCACATGTCTGACAGACCGCCTTTCGCGGTGTTGGATGTGTCACAGACGTAGGACGCCGATAGGTCCAGACCGCCAGCTTGCTCTAATGACGAATTCATGGCACCTTTCATGGGGGCTAGGCTCGATGTGCAAACGATCCACCAGGACCAACCCGCATACTTCCTTCATTTCATGCATGCAACGAACCGGCAAACGCACGCAGACAGAGAGAAATTGAAGATTGGAGGAATGGGTGAAAACGTGCAACTGTGTGAAATGCCGTGACGGAGCTCAGCGGATTGGCGGGTTCTGTAGGACCCTGGCTGTAGTACATGTATCGTTATGATCAGCAAACCCTACTACAGCCCCCACCCAGGCCAATAATTTTATTTTATGATTTATTTATGATTTTACTATGAATGTTGTTTTTTGGCATTTATGGAAATTTTATGGATTTTTTATATTGAATTTATATTGATTTAATGAGTGATTACCAACAAACTCTTATGGTGTATTGCCATTACTCACATGCGTGCTACACATGTATGGTTTGTTTATGTCTCTTGTCGGGAAACTCGACTGGTTTCAGAAGTGGCGTGTCTATTGGGAACACGAAAGACATCCTCGTCGCAACATTCCGATTGTTTGCCTCCGTCTGAGACACGTGCCGATGGCTGCTAATCGCTGCTAGTCAGGTGTGCTTTGCATCGGCCAAGCGTTTCTACCATGACGGTTTTTGGTCCAAGCCGTGCCCATTTTCGATCGGTGTACTGGGGTACACCGACAGATTTCTCATGAATACATTTTGCAGATGGTGTCAAGTTGTCAATGCATGCAGCAATGGTCAGGCTACAGCATATGCATAGACAATAGCACATGTCAGAACTTGGAGTTTCGGAGGTTTCAAGCACTTCATTGTGGATTGCAGCTGAATTGACTCCTACCCAAAACTCGAGGCTCCAGGCAACTCTTCAGACTTGAGACAAGCCTCAGCTAGACTCGCAGCTGGGCCGTGGATGGGCTGGGCCTGCAGAGGTAACTGGGCTGGTTCTGGGCTGGGGACTGGCGTTTGGAAAGGAGGGGGGAGGGAGGGGAGGGGGGAGGGAGGGGAGGGGAAACTGAGGGGAGCAGGAGGGGGGTCAAGGGGATGGGGGAGGGTAGGTTCCGGCCATTGTTTTTTTACACTGTTTTCGTGGTTTCCTACTGTAATTTATAGAAAATTTATGGTTTCACTATGATTTTACTATGGAAAATTTATGGAAAATTTATGATTTTTTTATGGAAAATTTATGATTTTTTATGACCCCTACACCCTCTGACCCTGGGTACCCTCCCAGCCCTCCCAACCGGCCCCCACCAGGCCCGGCCCAGGCTCCAAGACCGACCCCTCCACCCAACCCAGCCCAGCCCCTAGCCTGAGCCGAGCCTTCAACCCAGCCAGTCCACGATACAAGGTTATCTCGTGCCTGCCTGGGCTTGGACTTTGAAATTAGAAACCAAAACGGCGCAGGCTCGAAAGCCATCTGCTGCTGTGAAGCTGGACGAAGTGGACGACAAACCGTGGAGAGTGCAGATTGCTGAATGGCGGCGCAAGCTTGGCATTTCGACAAGATACAATCCTTTCGACCGTTTGACGTTGAAGATCAAAGGCCTGCGACTAACGACAAGAATCAAAGCATACCTGAATCTGATCGTGGCTGATCAGACACAAGAGCTCCGCCTGCAGCAGAAGCAGGGTCACAAGAAAAAATATGTGCGGCCATCAGTGACATCGTCGTTGACGTTTCACAGAACCCTGCCCTCAGGAGTTATCCGAAGTGAAATGGAAACCCCGAGAGATGCCCGTAGTGGTGCTAATATCAGTGTATATTTGCTTGATTTCCTGTCCAGTGCCAATGGATGAAAGCCATTAAGTATATCAGAGGTGCAAATCCAAAACTTTGGTAAAGACACACACAAAAAAGTGTAACCAAAGCTATAAATAAATCATAAATAAACCATAAACCAGGAATTTAGCCAAACCATAATAATTCCATAGTAGAAACCATAAATAAATTGTAAAATATGATTTATTTATGGTTTTTTATGAACTCATATTTCAAGCATAAATAAACCATATCAAAACCATAAATAAACCATAAACTAGAAAAATCACCAAATCATAAAATAACCATAAAATAACCATAAAAAAAATTATTGGTGGTTCTGGACCTGTAGTAGGACTTTGCTGATCATAAATGTATCGGCGTTGTGTGGGGAGGGCGATTGGCTAGATCATTCCCGGGTGGGAGAACGGCAGGATGCAGAGAGCACGGCAAGCAGCCCGAAGCAGCCGTAGCATGGTTCTGGGACATGCAAAGCACTGTTGCAGCAACGTGGTTCATCGAGCTGAACAGCATCAAAGCTTGAATTCCACAGTGAATTCGGTGTCCCCGGCTGACCGTACTGTAGCCATGTCCTTTGCAGAAGTCAAGGAACCCAGACCTGATAGAGCCCCGACTATCGCGACGCGCACGACCACGACGATCATGACCAGGACCAGCTGGGACGACCACTATGAATGAGACGACCGCGACAAACAGGACGACCATGACCGCCACGACCAGGAGACCACCAGGAGATCACGGGTAACATGCTTCACCCCATGTACTGGGGGATGATACACCGAGCAGCCTGCTTCGGTGGGATTCAAGATGCTTCCCCCTCTTTACTGGCGGGATTCGGGGCATGACCAACATGTCACCCAACCCATGCACTGTCGGGTTTCAGACACGTCGAGGCCAAATATGAGACCGATGTGTTGGACTTTACAATGAATCGCCCTTTCCGGAGGATGCGGCCACACGTGTCGTGTGTAAGCCAATGTGGGAACACCAGCCAATTCTATTTAGTCCGGATGCAAGAGCCCGGAACTGTGTAGCACACTATTTGGGAAACAACTCGCTTGCACGCAGGAACCTAGTACTGGCAAAAGTTGCCAATTTTGGGGGACCCCGTGTTTAACATCATCCACTGTACTCGTTTCAGGTGACTTGGGCGAACCAGTCTCATGCGGTGCCGCTGGCGTGGCCTTGCACATGTCATTCACTATCTTACTACTACCAGTTGCATCTTGACATTCCAGGACGGCGAGCCCGGATTCATTCGGGGTACTTTCGTGCTGGAACAGACCTCAGATTGATATGGCTTGTGTGCGGTATTGCTGCATCTGCCCGAGTTGTCGCACCATAGAAGGGCTGCGACTCCCGGAGAAAAAATGCTCGGCACCTTCAACTTTAGTAATCGCTCCTAAGACCTGCAATTGATGGTTTTTGGCTCCTAGGTTCAGACAGCACTCTCGCTGCTCGTGGGCCTCTGTATCGCCGTACGGCCGTCCCTTTCTTTATCTCGACCTTATTTCAGGCGATCGGGAAAGACAGGATCACATGGAAGTGCTTCACACGCCGACTTGCTGCGACCAAGTGTTGTGAAAAGTTGTGAAGTCAAGATGTAATGTGTCGCAGCAAGGGCTTCGGGTCCATGCTCGTGCGGCAGGCTTCATCCTCTCTGGCGCCCAAGATTGCGAAGATGCCTTAACATGAAGGCCCGGTTTGCTGCGTGGCCTGCCAGTCTGCACCAGCCGGTTGTTCAATTTTTTCGGAGACTGAGCTTAAGACACCTTCTGGTCCAAGGATGTCCAAGGGTTCCCTGAAGCAGCTGACATGAAGCCCTCACTCACTTCTGACCCCTTTCTTGTCTGTGCCTCTGCCGGCCTCAAACCGAGCTGTTCTGTTGCTCTACCCTTGCGGCATCTTGGGATATCTCGGAACTGTATGGATGGTACGGTGGCAGGAGAGAAGCTTGATCATGTGCCGCGGAAGCATGCATGCATGCGGGCGAAGGTTGTGGTGTGGCAGCTGCCGGTCATGCCCTTGGCGAGATGCAAGTGTCTGAACTGTTCCACGACGGCCGCACCTGTTGCTGAACCACTTTGATTTGCCAGGTGTCGGTTTGCCTTTGCTTGAGCAAACTGCTGCTAGTTTATGCGCTCGGTCGTCTAGATGCAGGCTGGGACGTTCAAAGGTTCCTTTGTGCCATGCCTTGCTGCATGTCAGGCGCAAGGTTGCTCACTGGACAGTCATTTGTAGCATCATTGATACCTGGCAAACCCGGAGAACAAAGGGTGTCGTTCCGCCGCAGCAGATTTCCTCGCAAACACGCCATCGGCATCCAACACTCCTTGCTGTTCGCACTGAGCCGCTGGAAATGCAACAACACAGTCACCGACCTTGGCATTGCCTACCCAAAAGGCCCTTGTCACCTGCAGCACGCTAGCCGCTACAAGCCAAGGATTCGGTCATGCAGCCCTGTGATCCGTCATCCGCCTTCTTTGGCTTCATGGGCGTGACCTCGGCGTCTCCAGCCAAGACCACGTTTACACATGCTTAAAGGCGACTTGAGCTGCACCAGCTGTCCTGCCACGATCGAGCTAAGGCTTGTTTTTGCCAACCTTGGCGTGCTTGGGCTCTACTTAGCTCAGCTTAGCTCACGTGATTTTTCTGCGCTCTCTCTCTCTCTCTCTCTCTCTCTCTCTCTCTCTCTCGCTCTTCCGTCGGAACGGCCGGTGGATTTTTGCTTGCGCCGGTGACTGATTGAGGCAGCTTACGGAACAGCGAAGTCAGGTGTGGGAATTGCATCGATGGGAGTTATGCGGCCTGACATGATCATGCGGCTTGGCCAGCATGTGGTCTTCAAGCGTCTCAGATGGCAGTTCTTGAACGATGGTGGCGAGCTGCTGTCCAGGAAGTCGATCATCCCAGTAGTCATGGCCGGAGTTCTGGGCATTTATGGCCTTATCACAGCTGCAGGGCGCTCGGTGTTGCAGAGATGACATGAGAATCTCGTGCCCTGTGGCACTTTTCGACAGTGGGACATATTTCGCAATTGCAGTAACAGATGCTGCCGATAAATCTGCAAAGAAGCATGGCACATCGGCACGCACAGGTTATCATCAACGGAAAGATGGATGCAGCTAATTACTCAGCCTACTCAGGCTGCTCGGCTACACAGTGCTACGCATTGCTTCACTATTTCACTATACTTGTCACCAGAGCACTTGCTGACAGCGCAATTCCCAGTACTAAGCCCGAAGCTGTCGGAGGGACCAGTGATCGTGGAAGCACCTTGCAGTGGAGGGAATGCCCCCAGGCTACGCGCATCTTGGAGCTGGTCTGACTGTGGGAATGAGCCTCCTAGCAGCGATAGCAACGTTGTGGTCTGACTGCCGACTACCTCCCCGCACTTCAGCTGCCCCTCGAGCTGTCCTTTGCTGAGGCTGTGGTAGAAAACCATGTAGAAGTGCAAAGTTTAAAGCTCTGTCAGGGAAATGGCCCAAACACGACGCTTGGGTCCCGGAGCCTTCCGAGCAGATGTCGCGAGGCTCTTTGGCTGCTGGCTTGGCCATTGGTATTGTTGGAGATGCGGGCGTGGCTCGGACGACGTGCATATAGGGGCAGCGACTGCTTCTGAAGTCATTGTGGTACGTCGTGATGAAGATGAGGATGACTAAACAACAGGATCTTAGAGGTTCTGGTTTACGAGCGCATGCCCTCATCAGATTCCGTGAGGTCCGCGCGAATGCCCAGCAACCACGTTTGTTCGTGGGCATGCCCCTCGAATTCTTAAGAGTGTACATACCATGTCAAAGACAAAACGTTCTTCGTAAGCAAACTTCGCCGGTTGGCCTGAGGATTCTCATCTTGATTTTTGCCGAAGCCTTGGGTCTCTACGGCCTCATTGTTGGCCTGGTCGCTCGACTTGGTATGAGCGACCTGCGAAACTCGATAATCTAGCATTCAAGAAGCGACTTCAAGAGACGGATGTGCTCGTCTCGAACGGTCTTTGCATGCCGATCCCTTGGAGATCAGTGGAGTGCACCTTCTTGGCAGGTAGTTGCGTCCACCGCAGAAGGCAAAGGCAAGGGGCTTTGTGACCCAGCAGCAACTCAGCTACGGTCGCACTGTTCCATTTAGCACGCATACAGTAGGGAACTGTTGGCGCGGGTAACATATGTGAGTGGTGGTGTTGGAAGTAGGCAAGTTGAGACATTGCCTGGAAGTAGCTTCGACGTGCTGCGGTGGTTCTACACTCTACACGTTGCCATGTTTTTTCCACATGCCCCGGCCAAGAGTGTATTGAACAGATGCTGCAGACATGCCAACAGATGTGCCCTACTCCAGAAACAGTTGTTGGTGCAGTGTTGCACAAGCCGGTTGATGCGCGCAACGTTCGAGTTCACCGCGTTTCTGAGTTGAGGAAGTTGATCGATGTTCCTGTGTTATCTGCCTCTTGGCGCCAACCCAATGTGATGAAGACGTCTCTCCAACAACGCATCGAGACAGGATCATTATGACCCCGGGACACAGTCGTCTTGTCAAGCACGAAACTGTTCATGCCGTAATTTTCATACTCCACATTTCCAGGTGCCCATCGAAATCAAGTGACTCTGAACAGAGCATATCTGTAAAAGAAGCCGCCCGACTTGCGCCGAACCTCTGAAACTGCAACACAAGAATGCACAGGTAGTGCGATGCCTAGGGCATGCGGGCTGCCAGTTCAACGCTCCAGCTGTCCCACCTTGCAGGCACGCCATATGCCTGAAGCATCTGAGCAGCTTGCGCTGCGGGTTGCTGGTTGGTGGTGCTCGCTGCTGCCGCATCGTGACGGACCGGTAGGTTAGCGACCGGTAGTGCTTACAATGCGAGGTTTGATTGCACCAGCTTCGGTGGGCAGTGTCACACAAACACTGAAAGAGATCAGCAAGAGCCTGGCTAGGTACAGATCAAGGCCAGCAAAGGCAGTGTCCGCTGTGCACGGGTGAGCTAAAGACTGGTCCTGTGCAATCGTGACTAGTGGTTTTTGCTGTAGATAGGTGTCGTGCAAAGGACAATCAGTCCGCAACATTTTGTTTCCCAATGTTCCTCGTGCGCCCGACGATGTGTTGTAGTCATTTCGCAGCAGAAACGGGGCGAAAGCGGTCTGAGTGCATCCGTCACGAAGAAAATCAAAGCGTCAAAGTGCCCCCTGCACGTAGTCATGGTGCTCTAGTCGACACTAGCACTACACCCCAAAGGGACAAAAAGAGTCCATTGCCCTGATGCAGGCACTGTGCGTGTGTTTGGCCAAGCCAGCTTGCCTCTGGACCTCATCTCAGACAAACTGGGCGGGTGGGAAAATCTCGGGCTGATCAGCAGAACTTCACCTTTGCGGACTAGCAAAGCATGGTACTTGTGTCTCTTCCAGGCTCCGTAGCGGCGAAAGGCCCTCACTGAACTGACTAATACTGGTATTGGGCCAGAGGCATCATGATGCAGAACCGCATGCTCAAAGCTCTTCCCTGATATTGTGTATCGAAGGAGGACAGAAGGATTGGCGAGATGGGCGTAAGATGAAGCATCTGGGGGACCACGGCCAGAGAAGATAGAGGAACCACAGTCGGTCTTGCTCCTGCAAGCGACACGATGCTTCTGTGAGAGCCAAATGCTGTCACCAAGTCATTTTTCGAGTTTCCCGAGCTCTCACGCATCGACACAACACGGGCGACTCAACATCTGATTGTCATATGAGCAGGTCGCACAACATGCGCCGTTTCAACTTGTTCGGAGCCGTTTGCATCAGTGATGTCATAAGGTGGGTGTCAGCAGCGCCCTATTCTTCAACAGGAGGCAGGGTTGCCTGGATTCTCTTGTGCACACAGGCAGTTCGCTTTGCAAACAGGGGAAGTGCTCTTCTGCCCAAGTTCCCAAACCCGGCTCTGAACGCTTGGGCTGTCGAGCAGGTACTCCTTGCAGCAGTGGTGCAGCTTGATGGTCGTCCGGCTGTGGTTGAACTTTGCTGACCATTCAATCAAGTGTCGTCTCATGCGTCACGGCAAAGTCGTTGCATGTTCCGTTACATGTGATGCAGCACCTGACATCGCCACGGACGGGCATTACTTATCGACGCAACTGATGATGCATTCTATCAGTTCATCACGGATCAGACCTTGACGCCAGGCTGTGTCCCTTGGTCTCATCACGTTTTACTACGTCAAGGCCAAGGCTGCATCCCAGCTGCTCTGCATGCTACGGAATCTTTGGGGCCCGAATAGCTGCATAGCCGTGAAAAGACAGTCTTTGCAATAAGCCGAGGGGCAGCTGCTGGCCACTGCCAAGCTTGTGGTGGTAATTTTCACGAGCCTGCCTTTCGGCTCTTGCAGCGGCCGATGCTCCAACAGCACACAGGATTAACGGCTCGACCAAATCCGTCTTATCCCACATTGTTTGTTTAGAGTTTGTGAAGCTTGCCATGCTGGAGAGCGGAGTGCGTCTGTCACAGCTCTTCTTTGAAGAAGGCCTCCTGACTGAAATCTGTCGCATAGAGTCACGCTAACAAGGGACGCATTTGGAATACATTGGAATACATTTGGCAGTTGTTCAGAGAACGGTCGTTGGATTGTCAGAGCCTGGCATGACTCGCAATTTGAGATCCCTGCTGTTTTGCGAGGCAAGCTAGATGTGAGCAATCGCCTCGATGATGGGTTTCGTGAAGCAGGTGCTGATATCGACCCGCTTGCACCTGGCGTTGAATGCCTGCTCGTAGACAGGAATGAGGACAAGGCTTTGCAGCAATTTGTCGAGCGATGCCGGAAGAAACTCCGGAAGGCAAAGGACGAGGCGGCACAAGCCATGGTACTGGCACTGCTGGTGTCAGATGCATGCGGTCGCTCGGGTGTTCATGCATCTGATCTGCAGGCCAGGCATGCTGAGCTAGTCGCCGGCCAACGCCGGACAACTGGGGTCCTGTTGCTGGGAGATCTTTTGGGCGACGTTGCAGCTTCCCCAGCTCGGAATTCTCGAAGCCGCACTGGCGCTGCATTGAGTGAGCGGGCCATTCTCTTCAAAGCCGGAGCAGATTGGCTTGGGACTTTCGGCTGCACCCTGCAACGTCAGCAGAACGCAATGTACAACGTGGTCAGCATCAGTCAGATGCCCTGCGTCGTCGACCTTTTGTTTGACCCTGGGGCCCTCTATGAAGACCCTTCCACACGGGCTCAGGAGCGTCTTGTACTGGAGGGATAGCATCAGTGATTAATTTTAACGCTACGCCGCCCGCCTCGGCTCTGTAGTGGCAGGGCGAGGGTCCCGGCTTATTGTATACCTTCTGGTCACCCTAAACCCTAAACCCTAAACCCTAAACCCAAACCCTAAACCCTAAACCCTAAACCCTAAACCAGACAGGCAGTGGATTGACGCAAAAGCCAAAGCGGGGGCGAGGAAGACGAAACGAGGGCGGGGAGAAGAAGTGGGAGGGCGGTGCGAGGGGAGAGGCCAGGAAAGGAGGGAACGAGGGTGGGGAGAAGAAGTGGGAGGGTGGTGCGAGGGGAGAGGCCAGGAAAGGAGGGGAAAGGGAGGGGGGGGGGGTGGGGAGGGGGGTGGAAGAAAAAAAAGAGGGGGGGAGGAGGCCTGGGAGGGGGCGGGTAGGCCCGCAAATCAGAGAAAATGAGGGGAGGCCGGGCAAGGGGGTGGCAAACGAGCGCAAAAACAGGGTGTCACCAATCATTTGGGCTGCAGGAGGATTAGGTGGAGGGTACCTGAGGTAACCACCAAAACGCCTGGGCCTGTGGCCTCGGCGGATTGGTTTGATCTTGGATCGCTGCCAGCTAAGACACCCCACTGTAGCACTGGTGCTTGTAGACTATCCTGCTTTCGATGTGTGTGTGGGAGACAACCCGTCTCTTCTCAAGGTACCGACGGCTTCTGGTTAGCGTGTGCCACGGGCGATCTTTGAAGGAGGCCATGCCGCCATCTTCCAGGACTGACCTCAGCGGCCAGATGCCGCGGCCTCCTTGGCACGTAGAACCATGGGAACTCGAGATCTCACGTGGTGACCGCACCCTGCAGCCAGACTTCAGCACGTTTTTGGCTTGCATGCCGTGCTGTCCAGGCATCTTAGCACAGGTAAAGCATGAAAAGCTAGGTCACGTGTAGAACTAGCGGTTCGCCAGCTTGATATTCGCGTACAAACTCGTGGAACAGCAACGAGGAATTGGCAGGGGTGGCTTTGGAGAGGTATTTCATGGGCGATGGGCTGGCGTCCGGGTTGCGGTCAAAGAGATGAAGGACAGCTCGCGTGCGCCCAGTGATGCTGACGTTGTGGATTTTTTGCTCGAGATCGCGATGCTGTCTCAACTGAACCACCCGAACATCGTCCGCTTTTGGCGAGGCTCAACCGAGATGCATTCGGGCAGCCGCAGCTTGCTGATGGTCACGGAGTACATCAAGCAAGGCGGTCTCTCCAGGCTCTTGCACGGCCATGGAGGGCCGGCACTGCCAGATCCGCTGACGCTGGGGCAGTCGCTGTCTTTCGCTTTGGATGTTGCCCGCGGCGTGCAGTACCTCCACGGCCAGCGCATTCTTCACTTGGACCTGAAAAGTCCCAACGTCTTGTGCGCTCCAGTCTGGACGGCGAAGTTATGTGACTTCGGCCTGGCGAAGATGCGAGGTGAGGCGACGTACGTGCAATCGACTCTGCAGGGTGTCAGTCCGGTGTGGGCACCGCCTGAAATGTTCGATAACAAGAGCGGAGGCTTAACGGAAAAAGCTGATGTCTACAGCTTCGCTGTGATTTTCTTCGAACTCTTAACGAAGCAAGTGCCTTTCGCAGAAGTAAGCTCTGCCAAGTTGCCAGCAGCCAAAGCCGCGGGCCAGCTCCCTCGCATCCCAAATTCCGTGCCCGCAGACTGCGCCGAGTTAATTTTGCAGTGTTGTGCAGCAAACCTTTTGGGCCGGCCCTCGATGAGTGGGGCCGCAGCCCGGGTCAGGGAGATAGCACAGTCGCACGAGATACAATTGGCAGAGGTCAAGCCACCTGCTGCCTTGCTACGATTCGATGATGACCAAGAGAGACGGGTGCAAGAAGCTGAAGACGCTGCAGCCAAAACTTTGATCGACGTTGACAAGCAGCGGGCGCATCTTCGTATGGACCTATCTGAACTGCACAGACAGATAGAAATCGCAAGGAAGCAAGCTGCAGAATTGGGTGCCCAGAACTCCAGTAGTCCGGGCTCACAAGATGCAGCCACCACTCCCGATGACTCGTGGTGCGAGCCGTTTGTGCAAGAAGTCGCTGGTGCAAAGTTTCGCTGTGCTTTGTGCTCCAAGTTGTTCCGCGGACCTGAGTTTGTCAAGAGGCATCTAGAGGCGAAGCACAGAGACGAAGCAAAACGACTTATTGAGGACAAATACTTTGATTGCGATGTGTCTCGCGAGGATGCTTTGCCAGTGCACCATGCCGTGGGAACTGCTGCAGTCAGCAGAAACGGCCTGGGTTGGGTTTCGCCATGACCATTTACGACCATGTGCCTCAACGGCATCATGCCGCAACATGAGGCTTGCGTGGCCCATCAGCCACGGCGGAGAGCCTGGTCTGACAACGACGTGACGTGACATGGCATGAAGGCATGGCACCTCCGATGCCTCCCGATGTCGCGGAAGCGCAGCATCGCACGACGAGTGACAACCTGGAGTGCTCAGCTTTGGCTGGAAGTGGTCAGAATCGATGTCGAGAATGCTTGTCCTTTGTGTCGCAAGCTGCTGCGAATGACCCGTGGCTTGCACTGCAAGCAACAACTCCGTGGCGAACGGGTGCACACAGCGCATCGCACAGAGAAACATGCGCTGCAATAGCGGGGGGGGGGGGGGGGGGAAGATTGGAAGATCGTCAGGAAGCTCAGCGGGGTCGCTAGCGGTTCGCGATTTTGTGGTATCGTACTCGCATCCAGGTGCAGAGCCATGCCCAAGTCGAATCTGCAGCCGGATGGTCGCGAAGGAGAACCACGGAGATGCCTACATGCCATGTTCTTTCAGTTGCTGGAGCAGGTCGTAGCAGAAGCATTCTGCGGGGGGGGGGGGGGGGGGGGGGCAGGGCGCAGCGAAATTGGTAAATCAGGATTGAAGTCGTGGGCATCTTGCTGGTGTTGGGTTCGATATGCTTCAACTGCGGCAGCCTCAGGGCTATTCCAGCAGATCGGATTTGTGTGCAAAGATCGGAGCTGAGGCCTTGGAGCACTTTTGGTCGAGCGTTTTCTGAAGGGCAGCGGAGAGTTGTACGAACAGAAGGCTGCTTCTGTTGCAAGCTAGCTGTTGAAACAAGAGGATGGTGCCCTTGCGCGCAAAGCCATCAGGCGCAGCTTTTGCTGGGTGAAGTGCTGGTGAACTCCATTGTGGTGTTTGTGGTCTTCTGAGCTTCCATCGGTACAAGGCGTGTGAACTTCGTGCCTTGGATTCTTGAGGTGATTCCGCTTTTCATTTTCGATCAGGAGGCAGATGGGGCAAGTCTGGTGGATTTCGCTGCGATGCTGTAGAGAGTGGTGCCGAAGCAAGGTCTATGCAGCCATATCTCCGTGGCATCGTGGATTCTTTTCCGGCTGGGATGGCCTTCAGCTGAGACCCGCGATCAGGTTCGAGGCCTGTCAGGAAGCGGCCTGAGGCGGTCTTGCAAGCCCTGAGGTCGAGTGCTTCTTTGTGCAGTTCTTTGGATTCCAGCTGGTTGGACAGCGACGATTCTGGTGAAGCCCAAGCCCTTGTGCCACGTCGAAACACTTCGAACTTCGGACTGTCTTTTCTTTGAGGCGCTGCTCCAACCTGCTCAAGACCGTTGCCCAAGCATCGTCATCTGTAAATGGCCTCAGATTCGTTTTGATGGGTTTCTTTGCAGGTTCAGGGTATGCCGTTAGCAGTTCTGAGTCGAATGTTTGCATCGGTGGGTCGGCATGCCAAAGCAGAGCACTCGGAAGTGAGCCACCAATGCTCGCACAGTTGTGGTGGTCACATTGCCCTGGCATGGCAGCCTCAGGACACTAACAGAAGAATCCTTCAGGTCCTGTTAGCTCGTGCCCCTGTCGATCAAATTCGCAAAGTGCAGATGTAAATTCGAGCTCCGAGAGCAGCTTCGGACGGTCTCGAGGGCTGGCAACTAGCCACTAGCCAGTCCCAACATGTGAGGAGCTGCTGATGCAAGCCACATGCCGTCCCTGTTCCGAACATAAAGGTTCTGACCTATGTCTTCTCAGTGGTGCCATTGAGCCGTGGACCATCGACATGGCGGGAGGGGATGAAACTTTCCTGTCTTTGCGCGTTCGGAAGCCTTCTTTGGGTTTTTGGACTTCACGCTTGGCCCCGGCATCTCGTTGCCATTAGTTCCACTCATTTCGCTTCGGGGCTGCTGTTGAACCCGTTGCGTTTTGCTATGTGTCGTCGGCACGGTGACACTGTAACTTGCCCCTGCTCCTGCTGAAGGGCACACATCGTGACCTGGCTGGGGCCACCTCTGACGCCTGAGCCTGTATCCTCTCCCGTTGCCGGAGACTTAGCAAAATGTACTTAGTGGTGAGTTGCGTTGCAAGGTTTTGCTTCCTCGCTTATTCGTTCTTACATGACATGGAGTGGCCTCAGATCGTGCAGCTTTCCAGCCCTTTTGAACAAGAACATGGGGTGTTGGTTTGCGTCAGCTGTCATTCACAACACCAAGGTCCAGGCGCCGAGTCAAGACATGAGTTATGCACATGGTATGACATGGCATGTTGTGCGAATCGCGGTCGGGTTGACTTGAGGTCTTGCTGGCCATCAGCGTGATGCTTGCAGTTGGGAGCCGAGCATGTCTGCAGATCGCATCGGTCCATGGTGATGTTGGCCTCCTGGCTGGAGTTTCTAATGGTAAGTCATCAAGTGTCACGAACGGAAATGGAGAGAGAAAGAGAGGGAGACACAAAACTTTGCTCCCTGAGAGGCCAAGGCATATGCAAACCTTTAGAGTGTGGAGCGGTCGACCTACGAGCAGTGCAGCCCGGCAAGTCTTGCTTCCTTGAGTAGGCTGTCGAAGCAATATACGTGTACTACAACTGTCAGGGGGACTCGATCCGGGTGGTTGTATCCTGTCAGTTTAGCATGGCCTGGCCCTTGCGCAAGACACGCACGAATCGCGAAGTTTGAGAAAGAAGCCTGCAGGCCGAGGCTGACAGAGGGAGACAGAGGCGGACAAAAGGTTTTGTGGATTGTGCCGCTACTCAGACTCTTTATGTGCATTCACATAAAAAGTAGCAGCACAATGGTGGGCGGGGTGGGGGATCAAAATGCACACTTGGGGGCACTGTTTGTTCCCCGGAACGGGCCAAACCGCAATGCTGACGCATCCCTTCCTTTTCCTGGGTACGTGTCCGACCGAACGGGACCTGCGCCTCAACAGCCCCCCTTCCCACCTCTCCTTGTCTCTCTCTTTCACTTTTGCTTGCTCCAAACTCAAAGGGCCCGCCCCTTTATCTCTCTATTTCGTTCTCTCTCTCTCTCTCTCTCTGTCTCTCTTTTTCTCGCGGGGCCTGGGAGGCATGCGAATCCGCGCAGGCCGAACACCCACCCATGTGGTTGGGCTTTGTAGGGAGGTCGTGAAACCCAATCCCGAGTCCGGTGAGGAAAAACTGCGCCAAGTGCAATGTATCCACATCGATCCCCGCTCGTGCTTGCTAGGCGTTTTTGTTTTGTTTGAGGAGGAAGGAAGGAAAGAAGGAAGCATGAGAATGTGCACTTTATGGCACTGAACTGAACAAGTTCAGTGCTGAAACCTGAGCGAAGTCAGGTCCCCTGCAGAGGAAAAGTTCTAACAGTTCTCCTCCGGGAGAGCTGACCCCATATGTCTTGCATCGAGCGTATCACACCCTTTATGCTCTGTCTGCGACAATACAAAATCAATGTTACGTTGTTTTCTGCTAGGCATTAAGCTTTGGCGCAGATCGGGCCGAACGCGACAGCAGGCCAGGGGGCCAATAAATTCCCCGTCACCAGCTCGTCCGGTGACGCTGTGCTGCAGACAGGTCCCAATCGTCGACAAGAAAAACACTGCCGAGGCTGGGATCACCGCTTGATTGGTAAATCCAAACATGCCGGTGCAACAAATTGTTTAACATGCATAGTCGCAGCCCCGATAGGACTTGTGAGACGGCATGAACCCTATTGAAGTCATGCGTTCACTTGTCGCGACCACTTCTCGAAGCATTCGGACCAACCTTAAAGGCAGCTGTTCCGATTGATTCGGGCCAGAAGCCGTTTAAGGGGCATCAAGACAAACATTTGGCTAGCCGCAATCCTTCCGAGCCGCGGATAAACAAAGTACAAGCCGGATGTTAGCATCTCCTCATGGGAGCCTCTTTTGCACCAGCTCTAAGCTGCGAGAAGAGGCCCATTACCCGAACCCATGGATGCCGGTGTGTGTTGACCCTTTATCGAATCCCTCAAACCCACCGGCCATCCAGACCAAACCAAGAAAGCGGGGCAACCCGTGCAAACCTCGCCTAGAACCACATAATTCCGTTCATGACTCTTCATCTTTCGTGCCGAATGTAACTCATGGGCTAGCAGGTTGCAGTTTTCCCGTTCAAATCATTTTACCAGCTTCCTGTATCTAGCTTTTTCACAATGTCTCCTCAACTTGTTACGACTTTGCAGGGCCGCACATGGTCAACAAAAACCCCAGAAGCCTGTGCCTGCAAGAATCTAAATGGTAATTGTGGATTCCGCTGACGCGTAGCTGGAGTCTTGGGTTGAAGACAGCATCCAAACACATCGACGAGGACTCCAGGCTGAAGCTCCAAAACTTTCCGCCCGATCCCCGAGAGATACAGCCATGGAACACAAGGGCGATCGGGAGCAGTCAGGACAAACAAGGACGGGAACTGGCACTGGTCCCTATCCCACCAACCGTATTCAACTGTATTATTCCGTATATGCATTAGTGTGTTTTGGAGATGCATCCGTTTCAGGCATAGCAGCGCATTGGAGATGAAGCAGGTGGAGGTCCATCCGAAATCAATTCTTTTCCGGCAATGTCATTGTTTCAGCCGCTTCATGTCGACAGAGACGTGCACATTGTGCTTGACTCACTTGGGGACGGGCACTGGTCACGGTCAATGTTGCGTTTAGGGAGCTTGACAGGTGGACTGGAAGCTGGATCATGCGTACCAGATGCAGGCGATACCGTGGGTGGGAGTCGGCATGTTGTGGAGCTGTCCAGAAAAGGAGTTCCCATTTCGAGATGTGGTAAACATCAGAGGTTTCCACCGTCGGGCATGTTCAGCTTGCATCGGATACTAACAGCTTCTCCCGCAGATTCCTTCGAGACAGGTGGCTCCACGTCAACGATCGAGGCAAACCAGCATTGAGGATGGGGGAATGGAAACAGCTTCATCCGCCGATAGCGTTCTACTCCCTGCGAAAGCTAGCTAATTTTTGGTTTACGAGCAGGCGCCCAGCTTGTTAACGTTTTACCTCAGCAGCATGTTCCTTTGGCGGTTCACGTCCTTGCCTTTGAGCCTTTGCATTTTCATGAGAACGCTACATGAGTGAATTGGTTCATTGTTCTGTTGTTTAGGTGCAAAAGCAACAGGCTCTACGCCCAGTTTTCTGCGCACGGACACGAGTCAGTTGTGTGCTGCCGAGCTAGGGCGCGCATGTTTTCTGTCTTGCTCTCGCAAGCAGTTTCCTCGAGTCAGGGGAAGGCTCCTGAATCACAGGGGGCCCAGCCCAGAGACTTACAGCCTCGTTTCAACTCATTGCGAAAGACTCTGCGCGACACCAGCAGCAGCCGCGTACGGTGCGAGCATGTTTGCCGTTCAGCAATTCTGTTTTGCCGTCGCCGTGGGCTCAGTCCATGAACGCTCAGCACTTTTTAGCTGATCGAGCAGCACGAGCAGGGAGCCCTGGCAGACAGCTTCAAGCGTTTGCACATGGATGTTGAGTCCGGCGTTCGAGTACTGGCAGAGCGGCCTGCCGACGACTTCGAACCCACCGATGAGGAAGTGAAAAACTACGCAGAGTGGCTAGGGTTGGATCCCAAGGAAGACACGGACTTGATGTACCTGGCCAAGGAGGGATTGAAGGCCCCTCTGAAAGATGGCTGGAAGCCGTGCACCAACTCAGACAACGAGATTTTCTACTTCAACTTCATGACAGGTCAGACCTCTTGGACTCATCCAGCTGATGAGGCTTACAGGAGCATGGTTCAGGAAAAGAAGCGGGCGCGAGGACAAGCAGTGGGCGTGCCCGTTGCCTCTCGGCGGAAGCTTCTAATGCCTCTTTTCATACAAACATAAGTTGTTTTCGCCATGCTGTTGTCCAAACATCAAGTGAGCAAGGTGCACGCTCCTTACAGTGGAGTCGGTCACATTCCCATAGAGGGGCAGGCTGCGGGCTTTTGTGGTCTGGCTCGGCGGATATTGTTTTGCTGCCGTCGGAGAGACGCACATCCTCATACCCAGTGAGTGCCGATGAGTCACCGCATTGCGGAGATGCGAGAGGTTCGGGTTTTGCACTTCCACCCAGGCGATTTGCATGTTATGTTGAGAAGCTGCTGGTAGCATGTTTACTCTATTTACACTAGATCCCAGTCCTGCTGTCAATCGTAGGGTGGGAGGGTGGTCACTCAGGTGTTTATGCTGCACCTTTTCTTTCTGTAAGTTTTCTCGCTGAGCGACGGAAAATTGTAAACACACTTGCTGAACATCTTGAGAATCAGTGGCACCGGCATCAGCTTTAACAGAATTCACAATCGATGTTGTGTTGTTATCATCGGGCTTACGACGACGTGGCTAGGCATCGTAGGTAGTTAAGATCTGCATGTCAGCAGTCACTGCTTGCTGGCAGTCGAGTTGTTCAAAGACATTCCGTGTGCAATGGCCAAATTGCAAAACAAGGAGCTTGCGAAAATGACAGCCTCGGCGGGTGGTTACATCTTGACATCATCACTCCGAAGGTTGCAGCCTTGCCGCACAGCAAAAACCAACCATCGGAGCTACCGTTTGCATGTCATTGGCTCAAGGAGTCGATAGAGCTTCGTGGTACAGGTTTAACATAGTAGGCAAACTTGGAGCGAAGCCAGTCACAGCCTCGCGATCAAGCTATGAGCAAACACCCTCGTAATTACTTCGGAAGGCATATTTCAGGCAGCATGGTTAACGGAGTGGGGACCTCAGTGTCTGCAACTTTGTTACTCGAACTTGCGGGTGCGTAGAGAGACAGCAGCTGATCGCCGTCGCACACATTTGGCCCAGATCGTTTCGCTTTTCATCCTCAACCGTGCAGTCCTTGGTGGCATGTCCAGTGCTTCAAGAATATTTCAGATGTTTTCTTGGCTGCTCAGGCAACGGATCCCTGATTTACAGTCACGAGAGAGAGGCCTGGCCTGGTCTTATAGACTCAGGGATATGCCAGGTTGATCAACGTAGCAACTTGTGTTGCGCTTGCGTCCTGATTGGCTTGTTGCAGTCTCTGTGCATGTTTGCGATGAGATGCCAGTCTCTTTCCAATGCATTCGAAATATCAGCGGCGATGGGGCTTGACGGACCTGCAATATGGCATAAGCAGCTGCAGGGTGCCGCTGCACTGTCGTCCAATGACAAGATCCGCCTGTCATCTACGTTTCATGGTCCAAAGCTCAATTTCGCTTTGTCATTGTCCTGACAGTCTGTTTTCGAACAAATCCTGAGCTCGAATTGAATCTCAGTCGAATGCAGAAGACTTTGACGCATGATTCGCTGATGATTCACCCAAGTCCCCCGTTCGGTTCGAAGATGTACTTATCCACGGTCTGAGGCATCAGCGCTATTGCAGCGCAGATATCACCTGTGAAGCGAAGTGCAGGCCGAGGGCTGCACACGGCTTGCTCCGCTTGCTTGGCTTTCTCTTGCTAGGGATCACAAGCGAGCCACGCCGGAGCCTTTCTTTCGACAGGACGCCTTGGCTTCCTGCAGCCAACTGGCATCAAGACGCTAGATGCTGACACGTTCCTTGCTCAAGGAGCCCGTGGAACATGCTGGGGAATGCAAGGGACAACAGCCATGCCCAGGTTTCGACTGCAATGTTTCCACACGGCGACTGGCGTGAAGATCTTCTGTGTCCTCCTCCCGCCGTGATTCTCAGAAAATGCAGTATCTTCAGCTTCACGAAATGTCATCACAACCGTGCTGCCAGCGCCAGGCCATACTTTGAAGTCGACCCGTTGCTCCGACAGGACGGCTTTCGCACCTGCGGTTTTACTGTTGTTTCGTGATTCCGTGCGTGGTGGCATTCCCCTTCCCTATGATTTCCTGGCAAGCCCGATCGTAAGACCGGGTCAACCTTAACCCTTTGGCGAAACCTTTGCTGAGCTAGGTCTACGGCCTGTACAGCGACTACGTGTGCCTCGGCAGTACTTTGCGTCGCAAGTTCCCAGATAACGACATGTCCAGTTCCATGGAGACCACCGCCCTGTATCAGTCGGCCAGCATGCTTGACAGTCACTGCATACCTGAGGAAGGGACTCCTTACCTCTTCAGAAAGCGAGTCTAACTCTGATAAACAGAAAGATTCAGTAGGACTAAGTCGCCGAGCTTCCATGATGGTGGGCATTTGTTTGGCGACATGGACCTGACAAACCATGCTGCTTTGCCAGCCCGTCAACATAAAAGTGTGTGCAACCGGCTGGAATGTCCTTTGCTGTCACCGAGGTTGAAAAATCCTTTCTATGAGCTGGACATGTGTTAGCCTCAGCTGCATGAAAATCAGCCTTTCTCATGCTGTGCTGTGCAAGCATGCTTTGGTTTGTTGCAACCACTGTCAGCAAAGCTGCTGATGCGGCTGCAATTCAACATCGTGGAGCTCGCAGTCACCCGACTTTCTCAATCGTTTGAGGCCCATTCGCTTCGAACTGTTCGAAAAAGAGGTGCAGCGAGTCCTAGCCGAGTTCCAGCCCAGGCACGCTGGGCTCGGTCGTTGTCAATGGTTGTCATCGTTTTTGCTCGCCGATTTTAGCTTTGCAATTTTGTTGAGCACAAGAAGGTTTGGCAGTGTGGGATTGAAGGGAGGCAGGGGTGGCTTGCATTAGACTTTAGAAGCCATGCCGTGGTAGTGCTTGGCTACAAAGCATGTGCGCGCAAGTCGTCCCCCTTAGACTTGGCCGAACAGAACGTGAAATTGCTTGGTCTGTGAAAGACCGTGCTTTAGCAATTTGCAGCCGCAGGGTTTCCGGAGCCAGGTGACTGGGTGATCATGAGCGAGAGCTTTGTGGAGTTCGCCGTGAGGACGCAATTTCATGGTATGAAGATGCCTCTCGAGCGTGAACACTCGCTGGGACAGGACGGAGGAATGGTGAGCCGGTCTGCCAAGATCACTCGGTGAAGGTCGTCGCTGCTCTAAGACTCCCATCACATGCGTCGGGGAGCTCCTCTCTCAGTTTCCCCTTCGTCTCACAGCGCCAGAGAGTGTCGCTGTCGAAGATTCAGACAGCTGGCGGTGTGACTGGGGCTTGACGCCTCGATCCTGCAAGAGGAAAGTGGGGACGTTCTTTATAGTGCTTGAATGCTTGCACATCCTCGGTTTAGAAGCATTTCGATGGTCCTGGTCTTCTCAAACTTCGAGAAGGTCTGCAAAGCCTGAACCAGGGTTTTTGGTAACTTGCGGCATATTTGGTGGCTCGCAAGCTGCAAACGAAGGGCTTCCAGGGGGAGAAGGGCCCAGGGGCCCATGGCCAAAGCAGGCGTGCTGCACAGTACACGGTAAGTGCCTCTTCAACATCCCCCCGCAGAGCCTGAGAGACATCACTTTGTCGGTTTTGCCAGGGCAGCGATGGTCGAGACGATGCGATCTTGGGAGGCCAAGAAGATGCGTAGTCCCGGCGCTCAGACTCTGCGCGACAAGCTGCAAATGTCCGGCGTGGACTTTCTGTATTCCAGGCGAGCCGGCAAAACATTGGAGCCCCAATCTCCAGACCAGCGTGGATGGACATTCCGGAGGAGTTCGGCCAGAGCGGCCGGAGATGACGAGGAAGCCTGCGGTGCGGCTGCTTCCATTCACGTGGACAGTGGAGCATGCGGAGCCATGTTGTGCAAGGATCCTCAGCTCCTCACGCGCAGGCCGAATGCACTGGCATCGGAACCAGTTCGCTTTGGCCTCAGAGGCTTAGTTCCCTCTGACTAAAGCAACTGCGAGCTGGGGTGCTGGCCGCTAGATGCCGCCAGCATCAGGAAGTTGATTGGGTGTTCTCGTTATTCGCAGACAGCTCTGGCATTCGTTCAGGTGCCATTGCCATGCCGGCCGCCGAAGCAACCTCAGCACATTGCAGCGGGCTAGTTTGGGGGTTTGACACTGGCAGCCTGTGAGCAGGTGGAGTTTATGAGCATGTTGCTCGAGTTATCGTCTTGAGCATTTGAATGCATCTGAGAAAATCAAGGAGTCTTGATCAGCCGGAAGAGTTTATGCCGCCAGAGCATCGACAGCACCTGATATACCTTGCGTGGGCCTTGGCATGACAAGACCAGACGACGAATTCTGCCTGCACAGTCGCTGTGTTTGAGGCGCTTTACAGAGACAAAGTGGACCAGCACCAAGCAGCGATGGCCAAGCCAAAGAGCCCAGAAGGGCGCGCCGACAGCTCAAGAAGCCCTCTGCGACAGCGGAGAGAGAGGGCCGAGAGGAAGTCAGAGGCTGTGATGAGATGGGGAGGGTATATCAGCAACAATGCCCACAAAGCATGTACTCAAAGGTTGTGCAAACTGCGCAGACGTAGACGCTTTTTGCGCAAAGGCTCGGACCCCATCGCCAGCTGAAGAGGTGCCCTGCTCGGATGCAACGCGGCTACGGTCCAGCATCGTCCCTGCACAGAGACGGATCAGCTCACGTTCCGAGCCTATGCCGAACAACGAATCATTTATCGATCAACGGGTGCGGAGTTTTCGATCATGAAGACTTAAGATGCGCCACAACCTTGCCCTGCAGGCCGAGGCTGATGTCCATCCGTCCAGTGGTTTCGCTGCCACCACAGGAGGACGTGTCGCCATGATTAACTATGCAGGCTAATGCTTGGCATTGAGCTTGCCATTGTTCATAGCCGGTTGCCAGAACCAAACGCGCCTGTTCTTTGCGAATCCAATTGTTGTGGAAGCTCTGGTGATGCTACTGCACAGGATCACGCAGTGATTGCTTGTACCCAAATGTTTGTTCGGTGGAAGAGTCACCGCCAGGCATGTTCGATCACTCTGGCAAACCCAGCTTCGAGCAAAGGCCCTCTTCCGAAGACGATGTTTGAAGATCATAACACTTGCGGGGCCTTCTTGTCTGTCGATGGAAGAAATGCCAGACCATCTACGTGCTGCCAAGCTCCTGAATGGCTTGTCAGGCGGCCGCACACCGCAGCAGCGCATACTGCGACAGTACCAAGCCTGGTCAGCGTTGCTTTTGTCTTTCGGTCGAGCGTGTGCGCAGTGCAGATCAGTGCAGTAAATATGGTTCAATCCACTTGGTCTGCATCGCGGCTGTAGGATTGCCATAGTATCAATTGGTGGTATTGAAGCTGTACATCGTAGTCAATCGTAGTCGCAACGATGTGGATTGACTTGCCATGGCATGCGGGGCTGCAGGTTAAAACGACTTCCTCAAGCGGTCTCGGCTACCTGGATGAACACACAGAGGCTTGGTGGGCGCTAGTGGGCAACCGTTGGGGGCACGAAACAACCGACTTATGAACCAACTTCATCTTGCACCCGGCTGCCGCAATGTATGCTTTGTGATCTTCATGAATCATAGGTGAATTGAAGCTTTAAGCAGCACCACTGCCAAACACATTGATTGCAGTAAAGCCTGCAGTTACTTTTGTCACGGTTCACTTTGACACAGAACCTGTTCCAACGCCTTATTTTCGAGGTCGGAGGAAAAGATAAGAATCAGAGAGGAACTCCATGGCATTGATAGCAACACTATCACTATCAGCAGCAATAGCCAGGAACAGCCTTTCAGCTGTATTTTGCATGACGGTGTTACGTTTTGCGTCGTGTCATGATATACCTGAACATCCTCGCTGTAGTTACATGCAATGACGGCTTGGATGCACTGTAGATCAAGATAATAAATGATGCAACGCCTTCAGTTGGGCATAGGTTGTATTCACGGACGGGGCAAAGCGTAGTTTGCCTAGGGTTTGTTTATCGTCGTGCCACGTGTGTTCTGTAACAGGCCTTTTGGTTTGCTAGCGGGTTCAGTTGCAATGGCGCGTTTTTGGGGGGTCACACTGCTTGCTGAGGCCGGGACTTGTCCTGCATGCTACGGAAAGTGCTTGAAATGCTGCTGTTTGCAGGTGTTCGCGGTAGTGGCATTGCGTGCCTACGCTTTCTCAACTTAGCATAGAAAGGACTCCGGAAGACAGAACGCGCTATGCGCGTTCCGTAGCAGCATGTGCAGCGTTTCTGCTTGTTTTCTGGGGTGGGGGGTGGGGGGGGGTGTAATTTCCCCATGTCGTCTCTTTCACCTGGCTCCGCGCTGCTTGCTCTTTGGGGTGGGGTGGGGGGTGGGGTGGGGAGTGTTTAATGATGTCCTGTTTCACAGTAAACACCTCTAGAGAACAGGAGAAACACGTTGAAACTTGCAACAGGAACACCCGTTTTGGGTTGACATCGTCTGAAGCTCAAAAACGTGGCCTGCATGGTACATTCCTGACATCCTGAAGCCATGTTTTTTCGTATCATGCGCTGTGCGCTTTTTGTGCTTTTCGTCTTTGCTATTTTCGGTGCTGTGCTTTGCTTGCTCTTTGGGGTGGGGGGGTCACGGCACACGACCTAGTCATTTTGAGCGTCATCACTACATACTATACATCAGAACAACTACTAGACAAAACACCTTACCAATAAAGGTTTGTCCCCAGTACATAAAAACACGCAACCCCGAACAATAACAACCCCAAACCACCCCCGAAACTGAATCCGCAGGGTTTGGTTTCGATACTCGGAGAACCGAATCAAATATCGAAAAGTCAACTTCATGTTTTTTTTTGTGTGTGTGTGTATTTGACGTTTGGGGTGTTTCAGCCGTTTTCGATCTTTTTAGGTTTTCAGGCTTTCCATATGAAAGCTCACACCCCGCCTACGACCAAGCTAATGCGGACCTAGGCGAGGTCTTCGGCCAGGGTACAGGCAGGGGTAGGCCCGGGTAGTCTTAGCTGGCCTGGGACTGGGCTCGAGGTAGGCCTAGCGAGGGCTCAAACCAGGCCGTTGTAGGCCTAGGGCCTAAGCTGCTCCAGGCGTAAGTGTCGAAGCAAGTCTGTCTTACGTCGGCAGTAGCCGTACTAGTGCAGTACTGTCACTAGTCGGGGCAGTCGTTTTCAGCAGCAGAGTCGAGCTTGTAAGCAGTTCTGCCAAGCGCCGACTTTTGCTGAATTTCAACACATGTAGGGTTCCGCCCACAAGTAGAGGTGTTTTGGCCGCGGTTAGGCGAACTCTTCAAGTGTGCGATGTTAACGTGGTCTTGACTAATTGGGCTCTTCCAACAGCAGTAGCCAATACATGTGGAATTTTGGTTTGTTATTCCGGCCTTTGGAGCGGCCCAACTGCACATTTCAAAATGTCTGTTCGATCTAGTGTTTTCTCAAGCACCCTTTGGCATACTTTGGCTGACTGTCGCCGACTTGCAAATTGCAGTCAAATTGCAATGATTTGGCATCCCCCAAGCACTTACAACGAACGAAGCCGGTGGCATTTTGGGGTAAAGTTTTCGGGTTTGGGTAGCCCCGAATGGCATTTTGAGCAATTTGTGTGTGTCCGCACGCACCAAACATTGACCTAGACAGGCATGTCGGCCTTTTTTTCGGGCTTGGGGAGCCAACCAAGAACCAAACTCCAATGATGTTTGGTGATTTCGAGCGTATTCAGAACACCTGAAATGAATGGTTCTGGTTGGGGAAACCCGCCTTCTGCGGTGTTTTTGGATTTTTCACGTTTTCGATAGATTACGAGATTTAGACTTTTGGCCTTTTCGCCTCCGACTTTTTCGCAGCTTTTCTTAAATGCTCGATTCTGTTGGACGTTTTGCTTTCCGGCTTTTCGCGTGCCCTGCGGCATTCTCCACCTATCCGGGCGCACTCGCCACTGGGAATAAGAAGACAATAAAATAGTAGCGGCATGCAGGGATAATGATTTTTATACAGGGTTATTATACAAGCCGATGTCTTGTAGCTCAGTCGGTGTCATAACACAGCGTAGTCTAGTGAAAGATTTGTATATAGTTCCAATACAGAACAGGCGACCATTGAAAAGATAGACACATATACGCCAGGTGGGGTACGGAAATGCAGCATAGTCGCATCACGCTTCTGTGTACTCATGCACAGGCAGTGGAGCACACTGAAGTCGACATTTGCTTATGTTTGCTTTGAAACTGTCAGGCATTCGTAACTTTATTCAACTGGGAATGCCTCAATGATAGTGCAGCACAGCAGTAGCATTGTCACATAGCAAATAACACATAACGAATTACCAATATATCATGGGTTGAGGTACAGTAATAGGTCAGAGTACGAGACTGTGAACCACTGCATAATATGTGTAGCGAACTCTTGTAACGCATTTGTGCTTTCTCATCGTATTATTGTGTGACATGATGTAGTATGCTGAAGTAGAGCAAACTCGGATGAGCATTCGGGTACCATGCCTCCACAGGCGAAAAGGCTTGGTAAGCTCTTCGATGAGTGGGTCTCGAAGCAGGACTTGTCAAGTTATTTCCGATACAGATTCTGTGAACTTCGAGAATTTGTGAGAAGCTGAATCAGGACATTGATGCTGCTTGGGGCCCAGGTTTGGCTTCGCCCAATTTGCCGCAACAACATTGATAACTGATAAACCTCTGTCGCCAAGGCATACGAGAGCGTTGCCTTGCCAAGTCCCCGCGCAGAAGGTCCAACGGTGCAAGTTGTGCTTTCCGCAAGCTTCCTTCTAGATGATTCTTGCAGGACGTCGAGTCAAGGTGGCGACCTCCCAGGCTCAGCAGACTATGTTTGCGCGCTGCAACCCTGCATTGCCAAGAGCGAAGTGCACACAGATCGTTGGTTTATGATCTTCAGGTGAGGAGCCGACGGTTGCACCGCTTCACCAGCAAAGGCTTCGTGATCGTAGCTATTCTTCAATGCTGAAAGTGTTTCGTTTTCAGGAAACTGGCCAAAGGGCTCGTGAGAAATTCTTTCGGTGCTTGTGCATACCTTGTAGAACTCATAGGTCCCACGGGGCATCGTGGGAAGATTGGAAATGAAGTCAGACTTCTGGAAAATCTAAACTTCTTGAAATTTGAGGGGAAAGATGAACAGCCGCCGATTGTGGACAACGTCTGTCAGTGCTGGCTGGCATTTTGCAATAGTCTCAAAGGCAAGCAGAAGAAATTACGCAAGTACAATGTGGAATGGCCAATATTCACCGAAAGAAGTGGCGGGGGCCCAGAGTTCCATCTGTCAACCCCGTATCGGAGGCTTTCAGGTGTGGAGGAAAGGCCCAGGCCAGGGCAAACGCAAAGGGCACGATTTATTGCCCTTCCAACAAAAACATAGTCCGCGACCTACGGGGCCCTGTGTGGAAACGACCTTGGCAATTGAACAATGCCTTGGGGGGCTTCGGCGGGGTGGAAGCATGGGGACCTCAATTGTGCTGTTGCGAGCGCATGTGTTTCTAGGAGGGCAGCGGGTTTTGGTTGACATCCTTCTAGATCTTGATTAGCACAGGAATACTGTTGCACGGCCGGCGCCTCCCTGCAGTGCCCGGGCACGCGAAATGCTGCTGAGGTGCTGACTGAAAAAATGCTTCACTCTTTTCGAGCGGGGCACCGCCAACAACGAGGGCAGTCGGACCATACCTGCGGACTTCCAAAGCCTAGTTGCATACAGCGCGCTCTACTAGCATTGATGCGGCGAACAATAAACACCATTGGTTAGAGCTGCTCTTCGATCTTAAACCTTACACTCACCGAACAATCAATTGTTCATCACACCTTTAACAGCCACGGATCACCGATTTCGAAGACCAACACGGGACACTTAGTGCAGTTGAGGCACTTCCTCGTGTCTTTGTTCGTCCGGAGCCGTTGGTAAGTAGATTTTGACCCCGCAGTGACCCGCCGTTTCGACTTGCTGCAAGGACGAAAAAGGAGTGTTAAAACAAAAAAGAAAAGTGCCTGGTGAAGAGAATGCGGAGAACCACACTGCGTATCTAGGGAATCTAGTGGTGCAGGTATCCAAGTCTTAAGGTGGTGTCCATGGCAGGTCGCAGGCATTCTGGCGGCTCCAATGCGAAGAGCCCGCCGCTCACAAATGCCTGAGCCCTGATGTATGCCTTGCTTCGGATGATGCCACTTGCACCGCCGTGATTTTTGTTTGTGGCCAAGGCCAAACCAGAGGAGGACGAGGTGGTGTCACGTTGAGCATGTAGGGTTGACATTAGTTTATGCGCATGTCGCCGAACAGTTCTGGCTGAATAGTGTTGCTCTGGAGGTCTTCAAGACGAATCGTCGGTCTTCAGACTGTACGAAAATAATGAACCAAGAATCGGGATGCACTTGTCGTCCCAGCAACCGAAGCCGATGCGCAACCCCGCCCTGAACAGGCAAGTTGCCTTGGAGATCATCCATCTGTCCCATCCGTTGGGACAGCGCGAGCCTCGTCGTTGCTGTTTCAAACATCTGGGGCATATGTTCACGAAGCATGACTTCAGTTGACCTAGTGGGAGCTGGTGATATCCATAACCACGGCTGCCGGACGCTCTTACTATCTGTTTGGCTACCTATCGAACTACCTACCTATCTAGCTGTCTATCTGTCCGCCGATCGATCTATCTATTTAGCTGGCTGTCTAGCTGCTTGTTTATCTACCTATCTGCTTGTTTAGCTATCTATCCGTCTATTTATCTGTTTATCCATCTGTCTATCTACCTCTCGATGAATCTCAGGCTTGATCTAAAGGTGGTTTTTATAGTGAGCAGCGCGAAAGTCCGCGTAAGTCGTAAGGTCGGCGACGTATCCGTTTGTTTGCCTGTTGTCTGTCTTGTATGTCGCTATGTCTGTGTGTCTGTCGATGTCTGATTGTCTGTATGCTGGTATGTGTACATGCATACGCACATGTATTTGTCTATGGCTATGTATACGTAGAAACAAGCAATTAAGCGCGCACACACAGATATCCATGTCTGTATGTACATAATTACAGATACACATATATAGATATGCGGTATACATGTATGCATATATGCATATGTTTATGTATTCCACAGAGATATATGTACATAAATACAAGTTGCATATGTATATGTGTTGTAAGGTATGCGTATACACGTGTAAACATATATGTATGTAATTATGTATGAATGTATGATTATGTATGCATGTATGTGTGTATGTATGTGTGTATGTATGTATGTATGTAGGTATGTATGTATGTATGTATGTATGCGTCTGCCTTTGATTGTGCAATACTACAGTTGTCCACAGGCGCCAGTAACTTTGTCGTCGGGACTCGCTCGACTACGGAAACGAGATAGCGGCATTGCTACTCACGACAGCATGATGCGGTCCTTCAAGCAAATTGGCTAATTATATAAGTTTAAGTGTATATATAAGTACAAAATGATGATGAGGCATCTACTTGGCATCAGCGACGGCAGCCAGCAGATCCAGCAGATCGACGTAAGCTGGACCGCCGCCATATTTGTTGAACTTCGTGTGGGATTGATGGATTCGTTGCTCCTCAAACTCCTCCTCAGCCCTGTGTCTAGATGAATTGCATTGTGGTGACCAGCCGCAGATAGCCACAAGATGCCGTCGCTCGTTTGCCTGTGGCGTGACTTCTCGGTGCAGGAGCGGCTTTGGATGGTTATGACTAACCCGAAGGCCCCGACCACTTGCCAACATGCATGCACTTGCATCTGTAATTCGGAAACATGGCACCCTCCGGGAGCCTGCCCTCCTTCAAACTGAATTTGCAAAACTGAATTTGCAGCACGAACGTTGCATGAGATCCCACTCAATACCCACAACCATGATATACCTTGATTCCCAATTCGGAGCTGTGCAGACATTCAGAGACCTGCTGTGTTCAGCTTGCGCTTTGCAGCATCGTGCCGATGTTGACACTTCGGGGCCACATTGCGGTGTGCACTTTGCTGAGCACTGCTGCGTGAAGTGCCTGACCAGATCCGAAGTGCCAGCCTTTCAGACAAGGCTGGGTGGGTGCTGATATGTCGGGTTGTAGCTTGAAGCACAGTGTATCGAGTGAATGAGCAGACTCATTGGGCTTGGCTTGTTTTGCATGCAAGTGCATTGAGAGTCCCTCTCAAGTTTCGAAACGTCCAGCACGTGGGCAGGTCGGCTACGAGCGAGATCGTCAAATGCCCACACGCATCGAGGCACTGTATGCCAGCGAGGGATGATACACGAACACATATACACCATTATGCACCTATGGAAATTCTGTTGAATACATTGTCGCTTGCTGGGGCCACTGCTTGAGAGAGAGACTCCACGGTACTCGGAGACTCCGCAGACCCTGAAGCACACCTCTCAACACTTGGTATGGAGGGCATCAAGCCGCTGATGTTGTACAAGCTCTACCATGGTCCGTGGCGGCTCGAAATCTAAACGAGGCGGATGCGTGGCTTCGGTTCGTAGCAGTGCTGCAAGCTCCAAAGTCAATTGAGACTTTGCCAGGTTGGACGGGTAGATCGGCAACCTGAGCAATATCTCTGCTGGCAGGATAACTTTTTAGCTCATGCCCGCTTTAGGCGGCTTGGATCAAGCAGTGCGCGAACATCGCAGCCCAGAGAAAGTGGGTTTTAGCTCAATGGACCAACTAATTTGGCTGTTGCAGAGAAGGTTCCCGCCGTTCACTACCTGCCATCTGGCCATGAGTACGGTGCAAATTTGCCTAGCAGCAGCATCAGTCAGTGACAGAAGGCGAATCAGTCGACGCACGCAAGCAAGCATCAGCAGCAATCGCTCACGGACTACCGCCAGACCGCTAGATCACATGCACGATCATGCAAGCGATGTGCTGCAATGCGGCGGCGCATCTCTCGTGACATCTCATGCTGGCTAGCATGTGTCGGCATGCCCTGCTGGCCTCTGTCGAGAATTCGATTTCCCGAAACATGCAGCGGCGGCGGACATCAGCCGACAGGGCCGCTACTCGAGGGAGTTCCCGCATCCTGTTCCTTAGAGCAGGAACTGAAGCCTCGCGTCCTTGCCGGCGTCGCCATGGTTGCCATCTTCACCGGCACCACCACCCCAGCCAAACAAGTGCCGAAGTTACAAGCCTGGCCGTGCATAGGCACAACTTCAAGACACGTAGCACTGATTCTGTAGCAAGGTCGACTCACGGATGAGAAGCGCGATCCAACGGAGCACTTCTGCAGTCCTTACATTGTTCCGGACGAAGAACTGAACACCGCCAAGGTTAGTCTGCCATGCCCGCACCCTTGCCTTCGCTGATACCTGCTTGCGCCATCTCGCCATGCCAACTTCCGCGAACACGTTGTGTTTCCTTTCATGCCGCCGACTGCCTGCACTTTCCTCACATGCCCTGCACAGCTGTGGGTTTCCCTAAACGTAGATGCATGCAGCGGCCATGCACTGTCATGTCCGCGTGCGGGCTTGGTGGCCCCCGCAGCAAAGATTCTCGAGCGGGCGCCTGAGCGAGTGGTCCTCCAAAATGTCGCTTGCGCAAACCAAAGCGCCGGGCCCCGCATCTCATGATGCTCGGATATCTACGGTGTTGTTTTACTGACCCGTTCCCGTTCCCCAATCCTACCTGCTTTCTCCTGCCCACCCGACTAGGATGATGATGACGTATGACGACCTTCGAATTGCTGGAACTCACAGGCCGGACATGTGGCTGGGCCTCCTGGGCCGATGCGCTCCCTGACATCCGCGGGCCCATACGGGCCCATTATTGGCCGCAGCATGAGTCTTGATGCTCGCACCCTCCTGCTCACGGAAAGATGATCGGCCTGTCGCACTTGGGCGCAGCATGGCGCTGTCGACAACCACAAAGTGAGAGCTTGCACCACGGGAAACGGACACGCACTTCTTCCTCGGTTGTTGACCCTCCGATCCCAAGCAGGACCCCCTGGGCCGCTCCTTGAAGCCTTTGAGGGACCATGCATGAGTCACATCGGGCCGAAATCGTGCAGCATGCATGGTTTTGCGGCACGCGTAGCCATCGGGCCCGAAGGGCCGCACCAGGAGTGGCATCGATTGGCGTCGCATTCGCACGTTGTCTCACAACTCGGACATACTCTGACCATGCATGATTCATAGTCGTCACAGGACTCGTTTGTCTCTCTCTCCCGTTCGCCCGTTCCACCTAATGTCGGCGACATGCCAGGGCCGCCGCTTGGGACCGCTGCCGCACACGGGCGAGAGGATTTTTTTTTTGCATGCGGCATCGTTCCAGCGGGGTGAATGGGTGTCGTTGCCGGCGTCGGCGCGCCGCTTCGCCGCGCCCACACGCAGCGAAGCCCTGGACGCTGAAGCCCTCGCCGAGCGCAAACGCGAGCAAGCCTGCACGAAAGTAAGGGTGAGCGAGTTTTCTAGGGCTCGCCAGCTCCAGACTCTAGAGCTTGCGCATCTTGCGCCCGGCGACGGGAATACGTGGCGGGCGTTGACAGACCCCGCGTGGCCGGAACCACGGACGCCCATTCCGGACACCGTACAGGAACTGCTGCACCGCGCGCAGCCCATCCAACTTGGACCAACAGGTCACCACCGCCTTGTGGCTTGAAATGGGGGAGGGGGTGAGGTTCTGAAATATTTCAGGGGAGTTTTTGTCGAGGTCGGGGTTAACACCTGGGTGGTGGGGGTCGGGCTTGAAATTTCGGGGCTATCCTGGTCCTGGGATGCCGTTGTATTTTCCATTTCCGGATATTCGCCGTTCGTTTCCGCAGGACACCGGCTTACTGAAAAAGGAAGATGGCTATGAAGGGCCCTTGGGCCCGTTAGCACCCAATCCATCCGATACCATTTCCCTGGGCTCCGGTGGCTTTGTTTCTTAGGCTGCATATGCTTACCATGCGAGGATCCGGTGGCCTCGGTTATATATGGCAGTGAGTCAAGAACTTCTGGTATGTACTAGGGCCGGGGCGCCCCTCGCGCGACAAAGTATGTAACACAAGCGGGTTTCTGCGACAAGGCTGGCGCGACAAGGTCCATCATATTATCATATATGGATGTATGTAGGCGCACATCCGCAAAAAAATATAAGTGTGTACATATGCAGGTATGTGGGTTCTGTGTAGTAGTGGTAGTAGTAGTCTCACGGCACTCCGCAAGCCAGATGGCGGTGTGCGCGGCATCGCAACGGGTTCCGCCGCCTGGTTTCGCGAATTTCGCGAGCTCTCGCCAAGGGGTTGGGCGGCGGGTTTTGATCAGGCGACACGACCGTACTAGTTTGCTTTACAAATTCGTGCCGGCACGGACGTCCTCGCAGCATGTGTGCGAACGGCCTTGGAGCTGCGCGAGGACACAGTCTTGGTTCCGCTCGACGGGCGGAGTGCCTACGACACCATGTTTCGGGCTTCCTTCCTGGCTGCCTTCAACACGGCCGCACCAGAATACGGGAGACCGTCCACTTAGTCAGTGTTGTGATGGGATGCCCAAGCATGTCCAAGCCAGTGCCGCAACATCGCTCAAGGATGCTCAAGGAGAAGGGTGTGAACAAAGCGACCCGCTTGCCCCCGCGCTTTCATTTCTGGGACAGCACGAAGCCTTTGAAGGCGGCCTGCGCCCTCCACCCTTCCGACAGCTTGTTGGGATTCCTTGACGACTTGTACGTCCTCACTACACGCGAGCGAGCACGAGCCGCCCGTGACACAGCAGTTGAGGTCGTTCAAGCCGAATGTGGCATTGCTTCCATCGACGGGAAGACGCGCGCAAACAGCTGCGGCGAAGGCCCGCCCCTTCCGGGTATATCTGCATTGGGGACGGACGTTTGGCGTGGGGAGCCACTTCCTGAGCGCGGGCTTGTGTTACTCCTGATACTCGTATTGGAGGAGCCAAGGAGCCAGGGATGATGATGTGGAGCCAGAGAGCCAAGGGACCCTCCAGAACCACTGGCTAGTTGTAGTGCTGGGCACCCTTGTCGGGCACCCGGAGTTTGTGACCGCGTCGGCGCAAGGACGGATGCGGACTGGATCCAGACTTGCAGCGTGCTTGGCTCCTCCTACCAATTTGAGCCGCCCCGCGAACTAACTAACCATCCGCATGCCGTGCCCGTCAAAATATGCTCAGGTGCATGACGATGCCATCTGGGAGACTCTGCAGTTCTGCTTAGACGACGTCGCCGAGACAGATGTTGAAGGCGCAAGAAGCGTGGCGATGTTACCGGCTGCCTGAGAGGCCTTGGCTTGACCATGCCTGACCTTTGTCCCTCGCAGTGCGCCTGCAGCATACTGGGCCGCTTCCCGTTCTCCGAGCTCGCTCGCCAGCCTTCAATGTCGATGAATGCACGCGTCTGCTCATTACAGGCGGAAGCGATGCGCCAAGCCTCAGCAGCACGAGTCCTGAAACAACCGTCCAGCGGTCAGTAACTAAGAACGAAGAATGTGAAACTCGGAGCTCAAGGCAAAAGAATGTACATATATGCACAACTCAGCTCAAATGCGTCGTCAAGTGCCACGGCGGGACTCTAAGCCCTCAAGCAACGATCTTTGAGCTTGGCATATGCTGGCCACAAAGGACATATGCGCACAGATGGAGGCGCGGGTGTTCTGCGAACCACTCGGGGCGAACAGCAAGCGCAGAAACATTTCATCAGAAAGCGAACCGATATCAATGAAGCCTAAGGTCTGCAAACGGTTCGACCACTCGTTCCTCCAGTGGAGAAACATGGGGCAGTCACGCAGTGCGTGTATTAGGCTCCATTCATGGGACCCGCACAGGCAAGAGTGACACAAACCACGGTGCCGGGCAGCACGCCCGTCAATGAAGGGATGATTGCCACACCGAGCAAGAGTCCACTCCCTTACCACATGCTCTGGCAATCTGGAAGAATGAATCTCCGAGCGAAAGTTGAGACAGGGATGACACAGGTTGAATAGTGCCAAAGAGCCAAGCTGTGCCACCTCAGCCTGACGAAGTTGGAAGCCAAACAGATCCGGGGCAGGCCGGGCAAACCGGTGTTTCCAACGAGCAAGTGACCGATAATCACAGCCAGGCACGACTCCGGCAGCAGCAGGTAAATGTATACCCGCATTGTTCAGACCGCTCCGAACCTGATGCGCCCAGGAGGAAGCAATACCGAGAGCATAGCGGAAAACGCGAGCAGCCAGACTGCGGTGGGCACCATGCGGGTCAGCTGAGCAAAGACGGCCAAAAAGGCTTGCTTGGGTCTTTCGGATCTCCAGGGAACAGGGGGCCCAACCGAGTTCACCCAAGACTGCCGCACCTGGGGCACCTGGAGGCCAACCAAGTAGGCGGCGACCCCATTGCCGCACCTGTTTATCAAGACGGCGCACACATGCGTCGTCTAGGAAGGCAGCGCCATGAATAATTGATTGCAGCACATGGGCCTGGAAAAGGCTGCGGCGAAAACCGGTGTGCAAGCCACGGTTTTCAGCCCACGCAATGGATTGGTGGAACTTGCG